AGGTATGATGGCGCTGATTAGCGAGACTCGCATAAAAAAGTCTCCAATCTCATATATGTGTCATCCACGTGTAAGTTTCATATACAACTGAAACCCAAATCCCTTATATTGTATATATTATATATTGAATAAAGCTATAAGATAATACTATCACTGTGACCTATCCGATTGAGTCCGTAATGTATAATTGTATTTAGTATGAGATAAATTACAACGAACGATGTTGGCGATATGATTAGTTAATTTTTGGCATTCATTCGAATCACATCTATAAATGAATTTTCTTGTTACAGTTTGTTTCTTTTACTTTCTTTTTCTAAATTTTTAGTGATAAAAAGAGAATTGAAAAAAGTATGAAAGTTTTATTTTGTTTTTCAACATTGATACACTTAATTGGTATCAAAAATACTCATATACGTATTTCGAAAGCACTAAAGTGTATTAATGTTGAAAAACAAAATAAAAGTTTCATACTTCTTTCAATTAAAATACACGTAAATCACCATAATTTTATACAATAAAAAGAGATTTAATTTTAATTAAATGAATAAGATTTATTTTACTGAAAAGCCATATACTTGCTTACGTCAATCTGTTGTGTGTTATTGCAATTGATATGTGTATACTCACGTGAGCTTATGCTTGAATGTACTATATGTGACGTGTGCAAATATGTGGCTTTTTATCATATCTCTAATCTAATCGAACGAAAAAAAAATTCGCAGATTTTTGTCGGGCTGTTGCTTGTATTTGCTGTAATTCAAATCGTTGCAGCTTCTACCAACAATGGGAATAGAATCGTTTTGAATGTAGCTGTTATTGGAGCGGGACCAGCAGGTCTTTGTAGCGCCAAACACTGTCTTGCCGAAGGTCATGAAGTAACCGTCTACGAACAAAGTGAAGAGATCGGTGGAGTGTGGTATTATACTGATGAAATCGGCAAAGATAAATACGGTAATCCAATTCACTCGCCCATGTACCAAGGACTAAGGTATTTCACAAAAAATATACAAACAATTTTTAGCCATGTAAACACATCAATTTTGAGAAACACTGTTTGTCCGGCAATATACTATTTCACTATCATGTTAATTGATTCTGTGCCTGTCAATCTATTCAAATTACCAAACAAATGTACTTGATATTAACACATGTAGACAACTGAAATCTGACTTTTGTTTTATTTATTACACTAGAACAAATACGCCCTACCAAGTGATGACTTTTTCCAACTTTTCTTATCCAACAAATACAACACCTTTCCCACCACAAACAGACGTACTGAAATATCTCCATTCATATGCAAACCATTTCGAATTGGGAAAAGTAATCAAATTGAGTCATTTGGTCGTTCGTGTGCTTCCGATCGAAAATGATAAATGGGAAGTTCTTGTGAAAAATTTACAGAAAAATACATTCGAAACGATAGTCTATGATGTTGTTTTCGTCTGCAGCGGCCAACAATCAAAGCCATTTATTCCAAATATTGATGGTGCCGATGAATTTAAGGGGAAAATAATTCACAGTCATGATTATCGCAAACCGGAACCATTTCGCAGTAAGATTTTAAAATATGGTTTTCAAAAACTATGTTCCTTTTTGGGTTCAAATGATATTCACAATTGTTCGCCTCAAAATCATAGATACAAATGTTCTTGTCATCGGTCCAGGACCAAGTGGAACTGATTTAGTGGCTCAGTTGTCAAAAGTCGTAAACCGCTTAACATTCAGCCGGCATAAAATTGTCAATGAAACAGCGGAAGCTCGCAAGGAACGTCAAAGTCTATACTCATCCAATGTGATACTAAAAGATGATGTGACACGTTTCACTTCAACTGGCGCTGAATTTATCGATGGATCCCATGAAACATTTGATGTGGTGTTCTTCGCAACAGGTTGACATTTTTCCATTTTCATACTCTTGTACGTATTTACCATAATTTTTGTCATTCTAGGTTACAATCTTTCATTTCCATTTTTAAGTGTCGACTCTGGTGTTTATATTGAGAAGAAATTAATTCAGCCATTATATAAGCAAATCTTCAATGCGAAACATCCAACAATGGCTTTTATTGGCACACCAAGGCTTTTCACAAATGCTTATATGTTCGATTTTCAAGTAAACTATGCAAACATGATTATGAATTATTTTTGAGAATGAAACTAAACGGTGTTATGATTGATTTAGGTTCGATTCGCGATGAAATTCTTACCGGGTGCGAAGAAATTGCCAACAAAAACAGAAATGATGGAAGATGTGCACATTTTTGAAAAAGAGACACTTTCGATAGAAGATTGGAAAGAATATGTTAAACAATTATCGGAATTAGCTGCCATTGAACCTGTTCCAGACGTCCTTCTGAACATTGCCAAAGAAAATTTCGTAGGAAGAGTTCGTGAGCCAAACGACTTCCGAAAATATCGATACATAATAATTGATGACAAAACATTTAGAAAAGAAAAATACATAACATAACGCCGGTTGTAATGCTTTCTTATTTAATTATTGTTTGAAATATACAAATATCACTGTTTATCGGTTCTATCCCGTATAGACTACCAACACAGATGACTAACTAGCACTTTTTGTTTTTAAGAGCTGAAGCAGCATGTCTTTGCAATTTCAAACATTCTATTGCCGCAGGTAACCATCTAAGAACAAGGTAAAGAGATCGGCGAATTTACTCCGATCCAATGGGAGGAAATGACAGCTGGAAGAGACTTGAAGTCTTCACATCCTCTCATTGCTCCGATCAGTTCAGTTGATTACATTGCGCTAATAACGTAAAGATCGTGAAAGGACAAATCTCGAAATATTTCAAAATTTCCATTAAAAAAAAAATGGAACAGTTTTTGACTATTTGTCGTGTTCATCGAGAAATGTGATCAAAACGAAATGAAAAAAATAGTGGCCCATTACGGGATCGAACCGTAGACCTTCGCGTTATTAGCACGACGCTCTAACCAACTGAGCTAATGGGCCGATGAAATCGAATTGGCCGACTAACATAAATGAGACGAAGGCGGATTCAACCGCTGATAACTCGAACTCGAACTTGAAATTTCACATATTTACGCCTGAGGAGATTTTGTTGAGTGTTGAACATTTGAAATTTCATCAAAAGAATCAAACAAAAATCTCTTTTAAATAAACTTGTGTCAATGCATATAATGTTGCAAAGTTGTGCAATCTTATTTTGTCCGGAGGCGTTTGTTAAATCTTCAATATTTACGTTCAATAAATGGATTCGTGTTTGGAATATATTCAAGTTTGTCCTAACAGATGAGTTAAAATATTCCGACAACACAAAAATATCGAACGGCCTATGCAACGCGCGAACGAATTCGCATCAAAAATTTAACGTTGCCTTCATTGAAATCGGAAATCGAAGTACTCAATTTGGTCATTTGCTATTTATTCATTTTTTCAATCTGAACATTTCACGGCGAATCTTTTTATGACGCAAAAATCAAGAAAATCTATTGAAACATTTATTTTTATGCCAAAATTCCATCAAAATTTTAAAATTGTTATATTTTCATTGTATTGCTGTTAAATTATGTCATAGTTCTGAAATAATCTACAGAGTTCCATCAATTTTTAATTTCTTATCATAGATCTCGCTTTCGTCATATGTCGTTTGAATTTTAACGGCCCATTAGCTCAGTTGGTTAGAGCGTCGTGCTAATAACGCGAAGGTCTACGGTTCGATCCCGTAATGGGCCACTAATTTTTTTTTTCATTTCGTTTTGATCACATTTCTAAACGAAAACACTTAAATTATGACGAATTTGAAACTTAGTGGGATTTCAAGTGTTATAAAGAAATATTTTTACGAGAAATTGGTACTTTTCCGATAAACTGTTGCCTAATTCATAAAAATCAAGTGCTCTGCTTAAATAAAAATCCGAAATTTGTGGAGAAAATAGAGCATTTTTCAAGTTCCCAATCAAATGCTCACTTCATTTTCAACGGGAAAAAGTTTGAAATTATTTTTCCTTTCAGAAAACGGCTCAAGACTATATCTTAGAGGCAAAGTTGATCAAAGTGCGGTTAAAATCATCTTATTATTATCCAAACACTCTATATTTCTTTCCAACTTAACTCATTTTGTGTGTGTTAAAATAATTCAAATTTCAAACGCTAGCCCAAAATTCACCAGTCATTTAGCCCGAATTTCACCACGCACAGCTGACACGTTGACGTTTCATTGTATGGTGGTGAGTTGAAGTTTGTTGCACTGACAGACACCGAGTCTGAATTGTTTATCAGTACTTGTTGGCATTTTTTTCACTCTCTCTCTCTGTCTCCGTATTGTGTGTGCCAATAAAATAATAAAAATAATCGCATACACTTGCACGATCAATGTATTAAATCAAACAATAACGCAAGTAACATCTGTTTATCTTCGCATCGAAGACGAACTAAATCTGATAATTCATTTGGTTCCATACGCAAATCGTTCGTAATTGTTTCCAGTGTATTTCAATATGTGTGTTTAATCGAGACGAACATTCTATTTTCTCTGTATCGTCGACGCAACATTACATTGAACGTGGACATTCAAAATGTAAACGTAGCTCCACCAAACGAAAAAACTCCACATTTTCTTTATACGAATTTAAAAAGAACAAATAATTGTAATAAATAGAAAGTAGAAAATTATAAGATAATGTCGACGAATTGACATAATAGGCCTAGAATTGACAGCAATACATAAAGAACATACAAGTTCCTGGCAACCAAACAAGAATGGACGAAAAACTCAAATATTCATTGTTACGAGATCCCAACGATGACATCAGCATTTGGACAAGGTTTTTATGTGTTTTTAATTCAAATTAGTTGAAACCAGTCAACCAGTCCACCTGTGAATGTTGATGCTTTTATGAAACTCTTGTAACGAAAATTAATTTTCTTGACTTTTTCAGGCATGAAAAGCGGCTGTGGTTCATGACATTGTTGATGGGAACGTGTATGCTGTACGCGACACGAACATCGGTTCCTTTATTACTGCCAGCTGTCTCTAGCGAATTTCGATGGAGCAAAACGGAATCGGGAACCGTATTGAGCTCATTCTTTTGGGGCTACACCATTACACAGGTAATATCAAAAGAAAATCTCGAATTTACACTGAAAAAATTATACCCAAAAATATGTTTCTTCCATCGTCAGGTTTTGGGTGGATACTTTAGCGATCGAATGGGTGGCCAACGCGTAATATTTGTAGCGGCAATTGGTTGGTCATTAATCACATTTTGGATGCCAGAACTGCTTGTGCTAACACCGCGACAATGGTATTACACCATTCCATTTATAGTGACAATAAGAATATTGAATGGCGCCTTACAAGGTGTTCATTTTCCCAGCATGATCAGCATCACTAGTCAGGTATTGAGCACGTATTTTTTTCTGTGGTGAATTGATTTTTATTAAAAGGAGGACCTTTATTTTTATTTCAGTATTTAAATTCAAGTGAGCGTTCTAGTTTCTTTAGCATGTTAACGTCGGGTTCGGCGCTTGGTACACTGTTGACCGGCATCCTAGGATCATTTATATTAGACTATTTTGGATGGCAGATGGCCTTTCGGATAATTGGATTTTTGGGCATTGTATGGGCGTTGATGATGCGATTTTATACAATGTCATCGGATCGAAATCGAATTATCAATCTATCGATACCAAGTCGATTGTGCACAACAAATGTTGGTGCAAATGATTCGGTACCATGGCTACTTCTGTTTCGAAGATCGGCATTCTGGGCCATGGTCATTGCACACGCATGCCAAAATAATTGCTTCTTTGTACTACTTTCATGGCTACCAACGTACTTTCATGAAGGTTTTCCACAAGCAAAGGTATGTTATTATGGTTTTTTGCTGACTATGTTCAAAAAAAAAACTCCATTTAGTCTAACCATGATTAACATTTTTTTGTAGTTTGTCTATTTTTCACGTTTTTTACTCTTCAAGCAAGTTGAAGACCGTCTTTGTTTCATTTTTACACCAATAAAAGGTATTAACATCTGTTTATGTGTTTCCAGGGTTGGGTTGTGAATATGGTTCCATGGTTGGCGCTGCCGCCATGCACATTTTTAGGCAAATATATAACCGATTATCTAATAGCACGCGATTGGCCGGTGACGAGAGTGCGAAAAATTCTACAAAGCTGCTGTTTCATGTTCCAAAATATTGCTCTCCTTATTATGTGCCGAACAAAGAGTTTTCACACAGCACTCACATGCATGACTTTTGTGATCGGTACTTTTTTAAAAATCTATTTTGCTATTTTTATTTAATTCATTTGTTTAGAAATTAGAACTTTGCGAAGGAACGATGATGTCAAATATTTAACAGTTTACTTGTAAATAGCATGAATGGCTTTATTATATCACATAGGCCATATTGAGTATATATCAGTTTTTTTTACAATTTAACACGTCGTTCTTTCCATTTCATTTTCCATCATTTTGTGTGTGCTTTAATTGAACTCGAAATAAGCGATCGATTTGGTTTCAACAATTGATAGAATCGATTCACTGATATGAGTTTAATTGAAATTTTCCACAAATAATGGCATTTACTGATTTGTTTATTTGATTAGGCGCATCGGGGTTTCATAGTAGTGCTGTGATTGTTACACCACAAGACATCGCTCCCACACATTCCGGCTCAGTTTTTGGTTTGATGAATACATTCGGGGCCATTCCAGGTAATTTGAACAATTTTATTGGAAATTATTATCTCTTTTATTGACGACAAATGCATTACAAAAGATAAATTCTGAATTATATGTAAAACTTCAAAATATTATATTCATTATTGGAAATTGAATTTTGTTAATTCCATGTCAATTTTTTACATTGCAATTTCGTATCAAAATTCTTCAATTTAATTTAGTTAAAAAAAATAGAAATAATTAAAAAAAATACATTTTTTAAAAGAGAAAGGTTTAAAATCATTATTAATATTAATTTCAATTATTGGAAAAAACAACCAAATTTTTATTAAAAAAAAAAAAATTAAATTAGGAAAAATATTTAAAAATTCAAAAATCAAAATTTTTCAAGAAAAAAAACAAAACAAAATTTTACAAAAAAGATATCATATAATTTTACAAAAGATTTCAAACCCGTCTAAAAATTTTTTGAATTGATAAAAAATATTTTACTTCCAGGTTTTTTGGGTGTATACTTGGCCGGTCATATTTTAGAATTGACACAAAGTTGGTCTGCTGTATTTAGTACGGCAGCCCTCATAAATACTATCGGATGGGTAGTTTTCTGCGTCTTTGGCTCATCACAAAAAATTGTATAGAAATAAATAGGCAAAATACTAAATCAAATCAACGACATCACCGTTGACAACAGAAATCCGATCACAAGTCGCATCTCACACACAAATGTTTTTATGTTGAATACATTTTTTTCTCATGGACATTTTTTTTATTATTTAAAAATCAAAATAAGACCGAAAAAATTAATAGAACATATTTTTATTTATATAAATATTCATATTTTGTATCTAAAATGTGTAGATAGTTAAGCAAAAAAAAGTACATATTATATAAATTTGAAATAGAAAGTGATTTCAAATTCAGAAACAAAACGTTTTCTTATTTTTACTTAAATTGATTTTGACATGTATGGACCATCCAGTTCATATCCCATTTTACGATAATAATTTCGAGTACCAACACCAGAGATTACAGCCAATTTAGTGCTACCGTGCTCTTCACGAGAAATTCGTTCTGCTTCTTCCATTAATAGCATACCGAAACCCTGGAAACATCAAATTTTATTATTTAGCTTGCTGTTTTTGATTATGCTCCAATAAATTAAAAGAAAACTCACTTGATGTTGGAATTTAGTTGGGTCTCTAGCATTGACTGGTACGACCGAACCATAAACGTGCAACTCGCGAACGATGGAACATCGACCCTTAAGTTCCGGTCGAAATGTTTCGGACGAACATTTTCGCAATCGAAGCAATCCAACCAAAATGTCTTGTTCCGGATCTTCGTAGGATAAAAATGTTTCCCAACCACCATTTCCAACGTAGTCACGACGAATCAATTCAATTTGATACGGACGCACTTTACTGTGGATTTCAACTATACCAACTTCACCTGAAAAATTTTGAAGGAGAATGGTTTAATTTGATTCGTGACAATAACAACAACAACTTTGACAAATAAAAAAAAATACATATTAAGGTCCAATTAACTTACGTGTTCGAACGTCACGGCAGTCAGTGCCCAAGTCTTTCATTCGTGCCAAAGCTAACTCTCTCAAATTTCCATGTTCAACACCCGAACTGACCAATGGCATTGGAATATCACGTTGCACTCGATAGACTCTGGTCCATGGCGGCACTAATGCCAAAATTTTTGCCACCAAATCAATCAATTGTGATGGTGGATAACTCTTGTATCGGCCAGTTTTCCAAAGTTCATACAGACCGGTGCCTCGAATTACAAGTGTTGGATAGATTTTAAGGCCGTCCGCACGGAATGCGGGATTTTCAAAGAATTCCTGTAAAAAAGCAGAAAATTCAATATTTAAATTCATAAAAAATTCCAACAATTCTTGATACTCACAATAAACTGTTCAATATCCCGTTCAAAGTCCACATTCGGTAAATCTGGCATCATATGTGCGACAATTTTAAAGCCGGCATCCTTTGAAAAGTGAAAACTTTCACAAACCGCTCGAACGGTATGGCCTCGATTTGTGTCTCGTGCAACATCTTCATAAACCGACTGAACGCCAACCTCCAATCGTGTGCATCCATACGAAAGCATATCAGAAATGTGCCGTTTCAAACAATAATCGGGTCGAGTTTCGATTGTGATGCCAATGCATTTGGTTCGTGATTTCTCCGAGTATTTGACCGCTTCAGCCACACTTGAACTCGAATGTCCCGACAGTGCATCGTGCAAATTTCGAATAAAATAGTCACGGTACTCTTCTGATAAACACATAAATGTGCCGCCCATCACAATGAATTCCACTTTATCGACGGAATGACCGAGCTGTTGTAGCTGTTCCACTCGATGTCTTGTCTGTAAAAATGGATGGTATCGTGCACGAATCGCACGCATACTTGTCGGCTCATAGCCCGTATAACTTTGTGTTGAATATTCAAAATCACTGTCTGGACCTGTTGATTGAAAAACATATCGCACTAAATATATGTGGCACAAATTAGAACAAGCATGAGTACTTACCGCCGGGACAATAGACGCAAATATTTCCTGTCATATTGATGTGTGGACACCGATGTGGTTTGCACATAACAGCGACGACCGCTATACCGCTTGCCGTTCGAATTGGCTTGGCACGCAATTTTGGCAACAAAAAATGCTTAGCTTCGGTTGGCACCGCAGCAATAATATCGACTAGACGTGGCGATGTGTCCAAACCATATTTCGATGATATTCGCGATTTCATACGATTTAAATCAACATTTTTTTGTTTTTCATGCGCTTGGATCAATTCTTGAATTATCTCACCGATCACCATCAACATACGCTCCTCTTTACTCAAACCAATGCCTAAACAAACAAATCACATTGAATTACACTTTTTACAGTAAAATGTTTGGAAAAAAATTCTTACCCAATTTTTGGCGACCCATTTTCAATCAATTTTTCTTTGTCGTCTTTTTTTTACCGTAAAAATTGCTGCGTTTTATTTTGTTTCGTCACCTAAAGCAATAACATTAGAATGTATACACGTGCAAACCAAACTTTTTTGTGAGCTGTCAAACTGGGTTTGCAAGTGACATTATGAAATTCAACACTTTGACGATGTGGTGAGTTTCCAATGGAACGATGAGGTGAAATGTAAAGAGTATGGATGGTGCGAAATTTAAAATTAGTTTTTTTTTAACATTTTATGTTTATTTATTTAGTTTTAGTGTGGAAAAATTAAAAAATGGGAAACATTGAATTTTTTTCATTTGATTTTAACATTAAATGGTGATTTATGGTTTGAATACTGATTTTTTGAATGGATTTTTATCTTTTGTGAGTTTTTTCAACATTTTTGTGTGTCTTCTATCGTTTAATGAACGAAATTCATTGTAGTTGAAGGGAAATGTTGTCTTTATGTTTAAATTTTTTAAGCGATAATATTAAATAACAATTTCTTCCTTGAGAAATTAACTTTTTGAATGTTGAATGAACATTTTCATCTTAATAAAAATTGTTTTGTGTTTCTTTTAGTCACAACTAAGTGATATTTTGATCATAATAAGACCTTTCATAGAAAGTTAAACTTGAACTAAATAAAGATCATTGAAAAATAAGATCATTGGAATCAAATATCATGAAAATGAATTCAAAGCGATTGATTCAGCGTAAAATCGATTGATTGGAATTGATCGTCGGTTGGCCAGGTGGGAAAATCATTTTTTTGATGGGTGGGTTGTAGAGTTCGTTTCGATTATTTGAAATGCCAAGTAGATGAATTACTGACGTATGACCGGTCACTTGGTGGATTGAAGTACCTCGAACTTTCAACAATTGAAGCGTCCAATGTTCGCGGCGACTGAGGTGGGGCATTTCGGTACTGACTCGGTGACATGTAGAATTTTTGTTTTTCAGGCGATGATCTTTTCCGCGCTGCTTGCTGCCGTTTTTTTCGCAATAGCTTCTCCACTATTTCCCTTTCACGTCGCTTTCGATCAATTTCTTCGATTTTTCGGTCCAGCTCCTCTTGTTCGCGTCTGACAAAATGATAAACAACAAATATTTGCGTTATTTATAACAAAATATACGATTTGCGAATTTGTGAAGCAGTTAATAAAATTGGATTCGATGAGTCATGTGAATGTGAAATACTTAACATGAATTATTCGTCATGCCATACAAACGACTTATCAAAATTGATTTAAAATGGACTTTTTTCCCAAAAAAAAAAATCGAAATTTCCAAAAGAACCCTCTACAAATGTGAATACCTTGCTTTTTCTGCGCGTCCAATGATGATCTTCAATTTTGCGATGTTTTCGTTCGTTTTTTCTATCTCTTTATCCACCTTTTTCGTTTCGAGTTGAATTTTGCGGTGGACATTTTTGGCGTTGTCGAATAGTTTGTTCATATGAAGCATAGTCACTTCGCTGTGAGTTGCCATGAATTTCCATGAATTTTTCATTTCTTTGGCTTCATGGGCCGAATTTTCGAACAAAGATCGGTATCGCGTTGGCATGTCTTCACGAACTGTCATGAATTTGGTCGGTTCTTTGCAGTATCCACAGTTTGGCTCCGAATTTTTTGTGCAATTAATGCATAAAAGATGCGAACATTTCGTAAAATAACACCTTTCATTTGGTGCCAATGGTTTCAACGTGACAAAACACGAATTGCATTTGAATGCCGGCATTTTTAACACCAACTGTACTCGACTGTTTTTCAATAAGTTTTTTTATCACTGTTTTTGTCACGATTTTTCGTTTCTATCACACTTTCTTCTGCTCGACGCAATGTTTGACAATGGTTTGCACGAAAAATGGCTTGAAATAAATCAGCAACTCAAATGACGTGTTTCTTCAATGACGATTATAGACCAACTGAGCCAAATCACTTGACATCTCTCGTCGCAGCGAGTTCGATTTGGAATTAGAAAGCACTCAAACTGTAAATTTTATCACGAATCTTGTGTGCGTTTGTTTATTGTTACTGCAAAATGCCGGCAAGCTGGCTTGTTTTTGATTATTATCTTTGGCTCGCGGTTAATAACAGATAAGTTGAGTCGTAAAACAACTGTAATTTGAAACAAGTAAACTGAATGTGATAAAGTTGCATAAAGTAGAATGTAAATGATTCAAGAGAAGAAGGAAATTTGAATGGTTAAATCAATGTTGTTTGCATTTTTTGCAACAAAAACAATATCAAAAGATATGTTGTATGGAACACAGCTGTAGTATATCAACGATTATTGCGTTATCAATATTTCCGAAAATAGCTCTTTTGATCTTTGTTTGAAAAAATAAATACGATTGAATTTAGTAAACATAAGTCTGTACTGTTTAAATGTAGTTTAATGAGACAAAAAAGTGTATTTGGAACTTATATGTTGTTATATCACTCTACTAATGAAAGGATTGTACTTGTCAAAAAAATGTTCGATGGAGAACAGACATCACAGTATGAACTGTCACATTCTTTTTCCTTCACTCTGACACTTGTTGAAATACGCCGTCTGGCTGATATGCTTGTGTTGGAGCTTGCGAATAAAATACATCGCAGTTCTCTCGTTTACAACTTGAATGTCGTGTTATCAATTGTTCAGTGAACAACAATGTTCACTTTCATATTTTGTACAATGTACATTATATTACAGGAAAAGTATTACAGGAAAAGTCTTATAAAGCAACTCATATTTATTTATGTTTCTACTTTTCCGCATACCTAGTGTGAGTAAGTTATTGTATTGGGATAAAAAAATAAATTCACCCTAAAACAGGAGATTTTGAGCCATGTTAATGTGTGTTTTTTTCATGAAACTATGGCACGGTAATTATGAGTAGATTCCGAGTCTAAGATTCCAAAAATGTGTGTATATGTTTGATAAATTGGTGATTTCAATAGCAGACATGCATCTTTGAAAATTTGGAAGTAGTAATAAAAAAGAAGGATTGACAAGCCAGAAGTCATCAGAAAAAGAAGGTGCGCACTCGATTTCTGTTTTTGTGCATTCGAAGTAAAAAAAACTACTAAGCTTTTGAAATGTAAACATTAGATCAAAAAAAAAAAAAAAAACGCGCGCAAGTGTTTTTTCGGCGTATCTAAATCGCAGTGTGTATTTTTTTTATCAGTTTATAAACACTTGAAAAAAAACAAAAGAATAGCAAAGAGAATAATGTTTTGTCATATTTGTTTCGAAGAGCCCTGGCCAAAAGTGGAAAGAAAGCAAATAATCATCGTATCGTTTACAATCATTGAAGTTTTCTTTGTACTTTGAACCGTTTCAACAAACTTCTCACCAGCTCCGTAATATTTCTTTAATTTGATGATCTCAGCCAAAAATATTTGTCGTTCACCATTTAGTGTGTTGCCATGTAGCGAAGCGAGAAAAATTGCGTTTTATGACTTTTTTTGATTTATGTAAAGCTGAGATCGTTCGTTCCTTTTCAAGTGCATTTACGCAGAAGCCGGAGTCGAATGTGTTTTTCAGCCGATATGACTTATATGGATCGATTATGAAAGATCTGCTTATGTGACAAATGAATAAGGAATAATTGAAAGTATTTACTGTTTACACTAATACAAATACAATGGCTGCTTATGAATTTATCGCCTCATTCCATTCAATAAACATCAAATATAATTTTAGAAATCAAGAAGTCTTTTACTGAATAAGTATGAAGAGAGATTTCAGTTAAGATTTTAACGTTGAAAAAAGAAGTTCATTTCTTAGCAGCGGAAACTTTTCACACACAAACATTCTATTAACTCAAAAAACTCTACTCAACAGTCAAGTTGGTTTAAAATTCAGGAAAGACTCATTGAAAAAAAATTAATTTCTCAAAATAATTTCAATTCAGAACGAACGTGTGTAAAGTACATTTAAAAGAAAATTCAAAAATGGCAAAAAATTGAGCATATTCTGGTGAATGATTCGGTATTTCAAGGAGTTTCAAATTTGTATTTGGACTCCAGTTTAAGCGATGTGAATTTCGTGTTCGAGAATGAAACTCAAAAAATTCCGGCAAATAAAGCAATGTTAGCTGCCTTGAGTCCAGTGTTTAAAGCGATGTTTTTCGGACCAAACAAAGAAAAGGGTGATGTAAAAATAGCCGATGCTAATGGCCAAACTTTCAAAGAGTTTTTACAATTTTTTTACTTGAACAATGTGAAAATCAGCATGGAATGTATCGAAGATGTGATTCGTTTGGCAGACAAATACCTTATAATAGATTGTGTTAAGGAATGTGCATCGAAACTTGTGAATAATCTTTCATTGGATGATATTTGCTTTGGCTATCAATTGGCCATCATTCTTGGTGCTCCTGAATTAAGAAAATATTGTGAAAAAATGATCAGCGCATTTCCACTGGACATATTCAAATCAAATACATTTCTCCAATGCAATCAAATCATTTTGCAACATATTTTGGAAATCGATACACTGCAATGCAAAGAATCAGATGTATTTGATGCTTGCTTGTTATGGGCCAAACAATATTGTAAACAAAATGGAATTGATGAGAACAAACCGGAAAATTTGAAAGCAGCATTGAAAGAATCGTTTGAATTGATTAGATTTGGAGCAATGAAAGTGGATGACTTCACTGTACACGCTAGAATGTATTCGGGAATGTTTACAAATGATGAATTGGCTGATCTTTTGTTTACAACTACTATTTCCGATTATATATCGAATAAATTTGCAAAAGAACCGAGAAAAGCACCCGCTTTTCAATGGAACAACGAACAAATGCTGATTTGTAATTTTGATAATACCATGAGTTCGCTGAATTGTTGGGTCAAAGATTATAGGTATCCACATTTTTCAACAAACTGTGCCGTTTTGTTGGGCGAAATCTATTTTCATCGATTACAAAAACACGATTGTGGCTCAAGTAAACCATCTCAATTGACATTGAACGTAAAAATTATCGAATTTAGTGATCATTCATTTGAGTCGTGCGTTCTTAAAAGAGTCCTCTTCAACGGTCAAGTATCTTATGCATCTGCAAATGAGTCAAAAATAAAATTGTCACGACCAATATTGATTAATCCACGGAAAATGTACCAAATTACGTGGGAAGGATCCTCGGATAATTATTACTATTATGAAACAGACTATTCTGATGTGAATGTTAACAATTACCTTACAGTCAAATTACATTCCGAATATAATCATAATCGTCATTATCAAAGAGTTGGACTAATTTCTCGTTTATGTTTCAATCGACTGTAAAATGAGTGCGTCAATCACTTCGCAATTAATCAGTTTTTAACGAAAAATTATATTAAACAATTATATATTACTTTCCAGTTACATAAGCAAAAATCATACAAAAATGTAAACATTTCTTTTAAAATAATTTTATTAATTCAATAAAAAGTTATTTTTGCGTAATTTTAGAATTAAGTAAATTTACATTTTAAAAAGCAACATTTTAATTAATTAACGGTCAAAAACATTCTTTAACTTCATAAAATTATATGTTTTTTTTTTTTAATGTGAATAAAAAAAATGTCATCATAAATTCAAATGTTTCGATAACTTGTGGCTCTTGATTCAAACAGTACGAGAACACATTGAATATATCAACAGATGTAAGTACACCAAAAATATGTCAGCAATAACTTTTGACCAACTGTAAGAGGCATAACACTATCAACAACATCAGTTTTCCTCCTTATGCGGTCATTTTTTCAGAAATTTGGACTTTTGCCTCCATTATGATTAATTTTGTGCTAAGTTCGCTCAATGTTTGATGAAGACTTTAGAGAAATTACAAAAGAATAGCAAAGAGAATGATTTGTTGTCATATTTGTTTCAAAGAGCCATAATCATCGTATCGTTTACATCTCAAATACAAACATTGAAATGTTTTCACAAGAAGAACAAGCTGATATCCTATACACAACAGCATCCAAAGATTATAAATCGAATTTATTTAACCAAAAACCACGATCCAGCTCCGTTTACGAATGGAATGCTGAAAAACAATTGGATTTTCGACAAACATATACAGATAAAATTGCATACGTGCAGATGAGCAACAGTTATCTAATATTTAAGGTTAATTATCCCGTTTCGTTAGGCAAAATTCATTTGAAACATTTTCAAGACAAGAATATTCCATTTTATGTAAATTATACTTCAAGAATTAACATAAAATTAATTGAATACCATGATTGCTTCCACAATGTTCGTTTGAACAACGTTATTTTTTCATGCCAAGAGTATATATGGCCGTTTGTGGTTTTGCCAAAACCGATTATTGTCAGTCCACGAAAAATGTATAAAATAGTATGGGATACCCAAAATGACTATTCAAATCACTTCTATAAAGCGACAGATAGTGATTGTACTGCGAAATTAAATGAAGATATCACAGCAGAATTTTACTACCAACAGAGAGATGCTGAATTTAAAAAATTAAATTGTACCGGAATTGTCTCACGTTTGTGCTTCAGTAAACTGTGATTGCTACGCCTATTCAATCGCAATATGAATTTATCATTTCAATTGTGAGTCATCTCTAAAACAATACAACTTTTTTATGTTTAAGTAATATTTTTTTACAATTTTTTATCTAAAATAACAAAAAATAACTTTTTACATAATTTTATCAATTCAATCCAAAGTCATTTTTTCGTAAGATCATATTTTAATTGATTAACGGCCAAAAAACATCCTTTAAATTCATAAAATTCTATGTTTTTAATAATAATTTGAATAAAAAATATTTCATCATAAATTCAAATGTTTCGATAACTTGATTCAAACAGTTCGAGAAAACATTGAATATATCAACAGATGTAAGTACACCAAAAACAATAACCAAGCGTTCAGAAAGACATACATTTATGTGAGCAATTGAATGATGCTTGCATCATTTGATGCGCATCGCTAGTGCTTTCGTTTTGCGTTCGGAGCACTTCGTGCGCTGCCGAAGATCCGAATGTATGGCGACAGCACAATCGATGCGCATCAAATGATGCAAGCATCATTCAATTGCTCGCATAAATGTATGTCTTTCTGAACGCTTGACAATAACTTCTAATCATTGCATGTAATCATTCAGTTCATTCATGTCAAGAAAAAAACATTTTTGAATTTGACCAATCACTTACTTTCAATTTTGGTTTAAATTTTAACAGACACATTTTTTTCAATTGACAACACATACTTTTTATCGCCTAATAGAAACACACTGCAACTGAAAGGCCCCATGCCTTTCAATTGCTTCTTTTTTCGCCATAAATAGCCATTGATACGAAATGCTCAATTTCACACCTCATTTACTCGCAAATATAATACAATCCAATTCAATGTCACATGTGTTTTCTAATCTCCACTTTAACCAATTGTATGTGGACGAATGAAAACTCTTTTCCCTTATCATCCACGGCACACTGTTGCATAGCGCATATTGAATTTTGCTCAAGTCAATTCGTATAGCAAAAAATAAGTATCCGTACAGCAATCATGCACATAAATAACATTTAATCGTATTTGAAACAGAGTTTTGAGTATGCTTTTGTGAGGGAGAATTAGAACGCATTGAATTTTGTTAATTTTTCACTTTTTGTCTAACTTTTTGTACATTATTTTCGGCGATGACGTAACATGCTTTTCTGCTGTTAAATGTACGGTCTATCAATTCGAAAGAAAACTCTTTTGAATGCACAGACACCAAAATGGGAGAATTTCTGTTTGTTTTCACTAGCAATACTTATAAACAACACATTGAACAATTCAGTGATAGCTGTTGTTGTATTCTCTTTCTTAGATAATAACGAATGTTTGCTTCTATGTCCATTGTTGTATCACGTATTATGGTTAATCGCATAACCCAATTCTCTTTTTATTAAACAATATTCTGTAATTTTTTTTAGTGCTTCTCAGGTAGCGAGACTGGTTTATCACTGGAAAACTATGAAATACTTAAAAATGGTGCGATTTGTTTGTGACTTATGAACATAAACCAAAAATCTTATCATATCAGATTATCGTTACTCTTGAGATTAAATTTCTTCAATCAATTCAAGTTTATGATGACTCAATATTTTTGGTGTAAAAAAAGCCACAATTACATTCTTATAGTCAGGATTGTAAAGTTCGCTATGAAAGTTGATTATTAAAAAATATCGATATGAAATTGGTTTTAATATTAACGTTGATATTCGGTACGTAAAATTTGATTTAAATTGAAGAAATGAAAAATATCGAATTTGATTTTATTAATTGAATGTGATATTTTTTTAACAAAATATTCGAACGGAAAGACACTTTTTTTATTTTACTTGTAAGTTGATGCAAGTTTAATTTTTTTAAATATATTTTACAAATGAAAACAGGCACCAATAGTATGGTATTTTCACACCAATACTATGAATCTGAACCCTTACTGGTAAAGCAAGCAATATGTTTCGTGAATGGAGTTACGGTGGATATTTGTGATGCGGGTGGTAAAGGTGTTGTATTTACTACTAAAATAGAGTTCTGTGCACCTCTTATGAATGCAGCAATCAACAAAGCCTATATCACTATACTTAAAGAGAATAAGGATGATGAAGATGTAGTTGGTATTTCATTTTCTGGAAGTTACGACATCTCCATAAAGTGGATTGCTTTGTTTTCACTTGTTTCGGGCATTTTTGCTTTTTCAATTTGGAACTTTTGTAATTCTAATAAAAGATTGGCACGACATGCCTGATTTAGTGACACTGACACTCGATTATTCAAGTTTTTTGTATTAATGTAAGTATTTAATTGAACCAATTTTATATAGTTCTCCGTCTGTTCTTTTATATTTTTAGTCGAATTTTGTAAAAAACACACTACATAAGAGAATGTTATGGTCTGAAAATCGTGAATTTTTGTGAAAAAAATGAATTAAAAATACTTTGTTCAATGCAAATATAGATAACATTTATTTTGATTTCAAAAACATTCATTTTAACATTGAGATAAATATTTAAGATTTGGAAAAAATGGAACAAATGCTGATTAAACTGCTGAAAATTGTATCAAAGATAAGGTAGATGATGTCATATATGAAAAATCGCCATGGATTAGGGCGATTTGAAGGGACACACGTAGTTTTGAATTTTGAAAATCTATTGCAAGTTTTTGTCAATAAGTACGCTGAAAAGGTCGACGATTATAAGACTTTTTGTCAAAATTGAATTTCATTTCAAACTTTAAACTTCAAAGTGCCTGGACCCAATGTTAGTTTTACAAATGAAAATTCTTCTGAATTTTACTTCGAAAAATCAAAATTGGATCATTTGAAAAACTAAAAAATGCCCGTCTTCATCATCGAGACGAAATAGTGGAGAACGAATAATCTGGGACTTGCTCTTTTATCAAATTATTCCATTCAATCAAATCGGCTACCTTGACTTCTTTTCCATTAGTTGCAGCAATTTATGTTATATATGGAATAATATCAAAATGCGAGCCATGTATTGTGAAGGTATTTCCTCTCTCTCCAACCAATGGAACCGATAAAAAGGAAGTGCAACTTTGTCTCCGTTCGGAATTGATTATATGTATTGATTAAATAGGTTGTATTTTCTGTTTGTGTGATTAGGTGAGTAAGTCTTGGGTTCATTCGGTAAATTGTCCATTTAAAAAGCTTTTACACTTTTGTCAACATTTGATGTAAAAAGTCCTTTGAAGTGATCACCGAAACTGAAATGAGAAAAATCATTTGGTGGAAATTAGAATAACGATCAAGGATTGGAAGCATTTTCAAAATGAAAAACTACAGAAAATCACATTCACCCTTTTGGTTTGATGGAATCATCTTTCTTGATGATGTGGAATGCAATTGCACCGAGAACGATCAATTGAAGTAAATTCCATGTCAAATTGTATGAAACGAAATATGATTTTTCACTGGATAGGAAAGCGTCTTCAGGTACAGTGCTTATTTGTCTTGAATGGGGGTTCACAGCATTACGTTCAATACGACGTTGGTCTAAAACACGTTCTTCACGTCGTTCACTTTCACGTCGGATTGATTCACGATTCATTCGTTCACCTTCACGAGTTTCTCGGCGAACATTTCGTTCAACTTCACGGCGTGCCAATCGGTCTTCACGTTCTTGACGATCGTTTGGAGAATCACGAATTTCGCGACGTCTTCCGCCATCGACTCGAATGTCTCGTCGATTGGCATCTCTACGTTCATTTTCCATTCGTCGTTCGGCTTCAGAACGAATATCACCTCGAACTTCGCGTCTTTCACTGTCTCGGCGCGATGTGAAATGATAACATTTCAAAAACAAAATTTAATATTAATGTTATTAAAACCACAACACTTTATCACAAATGGGCCATTTGAATCGAAACAGTCCGATGTGATAACATTTCAAAAAAACAAAATATTTTTTTAAATTAAATTAACGTTTATTAAAACCACAACACTTTATATGTCATTTGAATCGAAACAGTTGGAAAGAGAAACGAGACCGATAGGGAAAAAGAAAAATGACAGGTAGGAGTTACCTAAATGTTAAGCAAGAGAGTAGACGTGCCAAGACAATTGTTTAGAAATAAGATTGGAAGAATAAAAGTGAAACAGAGAAATAACAGAGTGTTTTTTTTATTAAACCAAAACAAAAGGTATTAAAAGAACATTTCAGATGTTTCTCGGTCCATTCGTTCTTCACGGCGAATTTCTCTGCGGACATCTCGCTCAGTTTCACGTCGCTCATCTCTTTCTTGACGCTCTGATCGCTCTTCGCGTTCTCGCCGCTCATTTGGTGAATCACGGATTTCACGTCGTCTCTCACCACCGACTTGAATGTCTCGTCGATTGGCATCCCGACGCTCATTTTCCATTCGCCGTTCGCCTTCCAAACGGCTATCAGCTCGAACTTCACGTCTTGTACTGTCTCGGCGCGATAATTGTCGGTTCATTCGTTCTTCTCTGCGAGCATCTCGCTCAGTCTCCCGACGTTCATTTCGTCTTTCAACTTCCTCACGTTCGCGATTCTCTCGACGTGACAGACGTTCTTCGTTATTTCGGCTGAATCTTTGTTCATCTCGGCGTTCACCTTCTAAACGTGTGTTTTCTTCACGGCGTTCATCACTTGATTGTCGTCGTTCACCATCATTTTCCATTCGACTACTTCGACGGGAGTCTTCAAATCGTTCACGTTCTTCAAGTCGACGACGAGAACCATCGATTTCACGACGAATGGGGCGTTCATCAACAAAATTCAAACGTCTTTGATCACGTACATTACGATTCAAATTCCGCTCTTCGCGGTCTAATCTTCGCTCAACGCGAGCATCCCGTTCTTCGCGAACATCTAGATTTTTGGAAGAGAATAAAAGAAAAATAAAAACACGTTATAAAGACGAACAAAAAAGAAGTCAGCAGAAATTGGCAAAAAATTCCATAAAAATTCGGTGAAAATTGGACATCGAAGACCAAAATTCAAACATACCTCGTCGATTTAGGTCATTGCGTCGTTCAACGTCTTCTGCACGTTCAAGCCAATCTCTTGACTCATCGAGACGGCGAGCATCGACATCACGGCGTTGTACATCGCGTTCTTCACGGGCAATTCGCTGACGAAATTCAACACGTTCTTCTGTTTTTTGATTGGAAAAATCAGAAGGAGTTTTTTTTTTCAATTTTTTGTTTTAAATTTTTTTTTATCAAATTTTAAAACCAAAAAAAATGAAAAATTGCGAAAAATCACCTCTGCGTTCAACGCCTCTGAATTGTCTTTGTTGATTTTTGTCCAAATTATTTGGTTCGATGCGCCTTAAATTTCGGCCGTCACAGAATCCACCGTTCAACCGATCAACATCAGCACCACAATCCGATCGAATCAGATTCAAGCCACTGAATGCAAGCAGTAACACCAGAATAGCTTGTTTTTGCCAAAATACCATCATAGAGCGAGCTTCAAATTGAAAATTTTCGTCCAAAAATTATCAGCAGCACAAAATAAAGACACGCTTTATTTTGCCTTCGATTTAACACACTGTGAATGTTTCTTTCAAAAATTGCCAACAAGCTTCTTTATATTTGCACTTTGCAGACCAAAAAATCCAAAAAATTTGAAATGTTTCACTGTGATATGAACTGATCGAAAGTAAATCGAAACTGTGTCCTTTTCTTTGATAACTCGTTGCTTTTATACGATTTTTCTCAATGACAATTTTCCTCCCAGCTCATCGATTGATATAAATCATTCAATTTCACACTTCATTTTGCCGTGCGTGTGGTAATGCCGGAACAATAGTGTCGCATGTGTGGCTCCCAATCAATCAATTTTAATGGAAACGATGCGCGCACATAAGTGAAATTAGATTCTCTGTTATCAGCCTTTGCACACTTGCAGCACGGACTTCGATTAGAATTAGATGCCGGCCGTGTGTGCATCCCATAAATCCGATTTTTTAAAATTGAATTTCGAACACAATTCTCAATGATAATGGGAAACATTTGTGACGCACGTCTTTTTATCAGCTAATTTTAGCAAAAACACTTTCAATGCCAAGGCACCATTTGTTGTGGCTTTGACGTCAATCCATTCATAAATTTTAAAAATGTTCATGGTGTTTACTATAAAAATGGACTTTTTTGGTTCTAGTAAGAGTATATCGCGCATCTTTACCGCCGAAGGCATTTACATCAATGAACAAATTGTGCACGACAAAAATAAAAAGTGTGTAAAAAGTGCAATTAACAGAAAACGGATTTCGTGGAAACTACATTGTGAATTGAACGAATTTTTATAGTTTCATAAAACAATCCGAATGAATTTCAAACAATCGAGTGCGTGTTGCCATGGTGCACTGCATCCAATTTACGTTAATAGTATCCAAGTCCATTTTGTACTTGGCTCAAGTGATTAATTACCTGGTGCAAGGTAATACTTTTTCTGTAGAAATGTCCTTTATATAGGAGAAACCAACTAACGCCGACAATAATGCATTTTTTGCACAACATTTTTATAAACATTTCCGAGAAAACTGCAAATACAAGGTCGCAATCGTGTACCCTTTTGTCATGTTTGTTTGAATATAATTCAGCATTGTTCGAGCGACATGTATGGCATCTGTTACTTTTATTGGACATTTCAATTCACGTTAGATTTTACAAAGCATTGCCACAACTTCGAACTGTTTGTTTTTGTGTAAAAGACCACAACATTTGAAAACAAATCCATTCAAATTCAATGTTTATTGAATATTGTAGCCGAAGAAAAACAGATAATTTTTATAAAGTTGATGAAAAATAAAACAAAAATTTGTTGGATATCAATTTTTTTACCTTTTATTGTTTAAAAATCCATAAAATCATGACAATTTACAATTTCAATATTTGCCAGAATACCTTTCTCGATTGCCAATAAATAGACTTCCCGAATTTTTTTACACATTTTTCCATGTTCTACATAGAACACACCTCATCGAAAAATAAAATAATTTGAACCGACTTTCTGAAAGGAAAATAGGAAATACTAAAACGTCCCACATTGGAACCATCCAATCTATCCATCAGCTTTTCATCTATGCAGTCGACGTTTGGTTTGTTCATTCACAAGATATTCAAATGGAAAATTTATGGGCAATTCCAAAAGTATGAGACATTGATATTTTCTGTAGACCAGCTACGTGATAATATATCCATCTTAACTAAACACAAATCTAATGATGATTCATTTCATCACAGACACTTTTGAATAAATATACACGAGTAAATTATATATATATGAAAATAGTTTTGCATCGTGGATTACGTTTTTGAGCTGATAAAGCAGTTTTTTTCGATTTTTATAAAGTAGTATTTTTATAATTTTTTGGATTTTCAGTTTAATTTGGAGTTAGTTCCTGATGTTTGCAACACTGCATGAGAACTACAATGCATTGTCCAGGCTCAGGTCCAGGCTTTGCCAGTCTTAAGAGATTCGCTATATGCATTTCGGATGGAAGAACATCTGAAAAAAAGAACATCAATTTTTCTTTTTTATTGCCACCAACTGCTTTGCATGAATAAGTTTTTAATAATGTAAAGTTTCAGCTTAACACTTTCAACTTTCTTTGAGTGAAAATTATACTTTTGACATTATAAACTATTGTGGGCGAGAGTCGAGCGCTATCCATTAGGGTGGAAATTTTTTGGCACAATTTGATGGCCACTTAGGAAAACATGTCTTATAGTCCCCAGATTCAAGATATGAAGGAATTTTGAACTTGCGGTTCCACACATCTTACACAGAAACGGCATCTTTATAAAACAGGCTAACTACAATGTAAAAGTATAGTCTAGTAACAGATACGTTTTACATTGTAGTTAGCCGGTTATTAATAGATGGCGTTAATATAGTGTGCCCTTATTGCGCTTGACTCTCGATTGTGGGTTGAAATTCGAAAATGGAGCTTCGAAATTAATTTGAACTAATCTTTGTTCTAATCTAAATAATTTTGATGGCCGTGGTTTACATTTGTTCTTTAGTTGGCCTGATAAAAAAGTTGAATCATGGCTTCTGAAATGAGTAACGAAGTGGCTTGCCGCAAAATGTATGGAGGTTATTTACTCTCAATAAAAAGTAATTAAGTCTTCTTTCAAAAAAGGGGACTTCTTCAACCTCTGATCAGAAGCTTGGAATAATAAAGGATAAAAAAAATGTTTGATCCATTCTCACACACTTGAATGTCCAATCAAATGATTTCAATTTTCCATTTTCACAATATTTTTCGTTATTTAAGTCAAAATTCAACTCAAAATGCATTGAAATCGTCGTAGCTCTCTATTCTTTTCTTGTGTTCATTTGCTTAACATACCATTATCTGAATTCAGTCCATTGAAGCAATCAACCGCATCGTTTTGATGAACTGGCTGTATTTCACTCATGCTCTTCTCCTTTTCACGCAAATATGTTTCGAACTGTTGGCGGAAGTAGTTGATTTCCTTTTTTTAAGTGTTAAAAGAGAAAACAAGGACAAAGAAGTCTATAAAAAACACACGCAACAAATAAATGAAAATAGTTACCAGTTTTTGGTCAAATTCAATGCTACTCATATCTACCGGTTGAGCAGTCACAGATCCTAGAGTGTTTCCCTGCATTGCTACGTACAATGTTATGAATAAAAGCGTTATGACAAGGCGTAAATGCATCCTCTCTCCCCAATAGTATTTTATTCTTTCTGTAGAACGGTGTAGACGGATTTTAAACGAAAATTAAAACAAGAAGTGATATATTTCAGAATGGATGCATCCAACTCAATAAAGAGTGGATTTATTTCACAATTAAACAATTGAAATCACAAACAAAACTTGCGGTTATTCTTTGACATTTTTAGTTTTGGTCTTTTTAACTTACTCGATTAAAATTCTTAAAATTTGAAATAATGTTTCTGATTTCTTCGTTGTACGTAAAATATTTCGCCGATGAAAAGAAAAACACGCGAAAAATCGAGAAAAAATCTTTTTGATTTAATTTTAGAAATTTTTCGTGACTATTACTATTACTTGAAATGAGCTTTAATTAAATTGATTTTTAATGAATTCATCTATCACCATTGAATTTAATTGATTCAATTCGTTTTTTTCAAGTTCACAACTTATGTATTCGATAAGTTGTTATCATCCGAATATCACAACAGACAATATGTAAATGAACTATCATACAACCTGTCGACTGCTTTTATACCTTTTTTCTTCATATGAACCGGTTTGCCTATGATGCACCTGAATTACGTGCACTTACCCTCACAGATATTGAAGTCTCACGTTATTGAAATTTGCACGTTGGTCCTTTTCAATTGATTCCGGCTTTGTTACATGTGCAGTGAATTGTATTCAATAACTGTTGCTTCACAGAGGCGGATGTTTACATCGTAGTGGAAAGGTACGTTAACATTTCTATACAATTGAACTTTTCAATAGAAATATGCACACATATCTATACAAATTGCAAGGTTGAGAACAACGCAAATCAATGTTACGTGATTGTACCTTGACAATGAATTTTGTTGCATTCTGCGTTTGAGAACTTTTGATGAGAAAAACTTCCGATGCTGTATTTTGAAACGAATAAAAAACATTTTTCTGGTAACTGGCAGAAACTTTAGATCGAAACTTATGCTAAAACTTATGAAATTATGCTATTGAATGGGTACAATTGTCATATTAGCTTATTTTTGTGTTTGATGCTCGCATTAGGGCATTCGAAAAAGAGCATCATCTACTGCTCTTGGTTACATATTATATTGAATAGAATGAAATGAAGCCTAGAGTGAAGTAAGCAAAGAATGCAATAATCAATCAAATTTAAACTCATTGAACAATGTTTTTCAGTTATGTAACGACGTCAACTTGATATTGTATCATCAAAACCAACTACGGAAAATTATAGTGATTAAAATGTGAGGATGAAACAGAGTATGAAAAAACGTCATTTGAATGACGTGTTTGAAAGGTTAAACAATGTGGTTTCACAACATTTTTTTTCTTTTACAAATTGCAAATAAATATATTATACTTTTCTTCTTTATTATAAACACTTCTAAGCGAATAATATAGTATGATCTAATTGTAAATGTACCATGAACCAGCATCGGCAGCAACATAATAAATAGTGTGTCATACCCAATTGCCACATACATCCCAAATCCATTATGATTACGGCGACGTAAATAGTGTCAGCCTGAGTGATATTTTATTTGTTACGCCCGCTTCCGTATAAGTTATTTCGTAGAATGATATGTTTTGAATAGCAAATCGAATTAATAAAATGAGTCAAAATCACTAAAGTTGACCAATTTTTTTTATATTTTTTTTATTTTAAATGACAAAATGAAAAAAAAATCGATACCAAAGGAAATTAATTTTAGCTTCAGATAAATTCAAAGAGATGAAAGCAGTGAATAGATTGGGCTACAGCTATAGTAGTGCTATTTTCACAGCTCCTATTCATAGGTGCTATTTGTGAACAATTGATTTTAATATTTTGCATTTTTTTTGCATAAACAAATCAATAGGTCTATTGTCCAGAATTGTATCATAAAATCGCTGTCCGTATGCGTTGTTCACAAATAGCACCTATGAATAGGAGCTGTGAAAATAGCACTGCTATAGCCCAATCTATTCACTGGATGAAAGTCAAGAAGATCAAGATTGTTGCGAAAAATCGTGCCATTTATACGAAAGATTCAAAAAGTGTATTACAATATTGTACAGGATGATCCTTTACGTTCGTTTTTGGCAGCCACCAATTCTGCATGCAGGAAAGGGCCGCAGGTAATAACATATTTCCAGTACTTCTAAACACCGTTGCTGACATCGCTGTTAAAGCATTGACATCAATCTTCCACCGCGGCCCAAAATGAAAATATTAAGCTTCTTCTTTAAATTCGAATGAAAATATTCGAAACTTTATTCTTTGTTCAACTTCATTTAAATTTTGAATAAATTTACTGACATTAAGAAATATATATTTTTTAAACATTTCAACCAAAAAGGCGCATATTTGGGCTACCATTTGGTCTATAAATGCTAAACTCAAGCTTAGCTCAGTTTCATAAGACGATGTACAGAGAAAAATGTAAGCGAAATAGAATGCTGTGCGCTCACACAAAGAAAAGTCTTCTAATGCTATAGATCAATGCATCTGTATCGCTTGTAGTGTTCGGGTAAAAAGAAGTACACAATTCAAAGTGTTTTCATTTATTTAAGCATCAATTTCTTACATAATATGCAGTAATTGGGTTGAATTGGTCATATTTTTTTGTATTATTGCAATCGAAATAATCGAATCGATGCGATGGCATTTCCACTAAATATTCAAGCAACAGAGCAGGATTGTGGATTTGTATTCAATACAGACGTGTGATGTCATTGACGCAATATATAATCGTTTATTCCATATTTGTATTTTTCAGCATTTGATTTCATGTGCGATTCATTTGAATTTATAAATTTCTCTACATCTAAAATGTTCGTCTCAAGACTTTCAATTTGTGGACGTTACTTAGGGTCCGCATTCGAACATCATAATATCGTATCTAATATATTTCATTCTAAGTCACCGGCATATTGAAGTTTTTTCAGTCTCTCTACCCATTTTAGAAATGCCTGTATAAATCGAAATGCGAAGCAATCTCAGAATATGGGTTTGATTTACTTTTATTCGATTTTTCTTGTGTTTGATCATAGTAATCGATAATTTTAATGTTTTCCAAAACAATAAATTCACAAATAAACGAAGTGAAGAAAATTGAATGAGCAAAATAGTTCTACAAACTTTTTTGAAAGTGTGCAATCACACATAATTTATTAATAGTTAATGAAAAAAGATGGACCCCCTTGTGATGATGGGAAATGTTTTCGATGAATATTGCAACGAATTTACGGCAGAGTACAAAGGTACCTACTATAATTTCTATGAATTATAGAGTAAAAACCAGTTTAATCATTATATCATTTCAGGTCGTATAATTAAGGTTCTTTATACGGAAAATGGTGTTGATATTCAATATCGGGCCAGGCTCATGAAATTGGTTGGATTTGAGTTCGAAGTTCGTTTAATAAAAGACAGAAAATTTGATAAGGTGGATTTGAGCAAAATTGAAAGTAAACGCTTTGGCGATGAGCTTGAACAACTTGTACGCCGTTTACAAGTGACATACAATCGATTTCGTCAATATTTTAAGGGTGATTTACTCTACAAAAGAATATGAAAATTATATTGATGAGCGAATTTATTTTTCAGTCTTTCAAGCTGCTGCTTATTCAGAAGAAACTAATATTTGGTATCTCGTTCAACTGAAGGATGTATTATGGTCATCTGATCGACCTTGTGAATTCTTGGTCGAAAATTGGTATTCGAAAGAGGAAGAAATTGTGCTGGCAAGTAATGTTCGAAGCAAATTTCAATTGTGCCGAGAGCTTGGCTGTAGGCAAGCTATTCCTGATGACGAAATAATCAATCATTTGACAAATGTTCATAGACGCGATCTTGAATACATTTACAATCAATTTGAAGTTGGAGTCTATAAAAGACGACGACGACCTTTACATCTCTATCAGCCACGACGATTATTAGACATTTTTTGAAAGCCAACTATGTAGCAGTTGTTTTATGTTTGACATCGATCGTATGTGGTCATCTAAAGTGGAACAAAAAATAAAACCAAATTTTAATTGATTAACAAATTCTTCTTTAATTCACTTTTTCAGTGGTACATGGCTAATAATCATTCAAATGCATAAATTCGGCTAGACTTTAGCTTAAAATTGGTTGTTTCGATCAAAGTTTTTCATACTTAAAAATAATTAGTAAAATTCTTTTTAAAATTCTCTGATTATTTTGACACATGAGTGATAACCATTTTGGATTTTGACTCATATTTTTTGAGAATTTTTTGTCATAACATCATAAAATCGTAACTAATATATTTAATTCTATTAGTAACATACAATATAAACCGTTTAAAGCTTACGCAGATTGTGTGGCACATACATGGGCACGGAAAATATTTAAGGGGGGTCCATCAGCCAATCAAAAACCCTAGCAAATCGAAAGAATTTTTCGCGAAAAACCCTAGCAATTTTCTAAAGTTTTCTTCACTTTCCTGTGAAAAATTCTTAGTAAATCGGAAGATTTCTCGGCTGCCGTCGGGGGAGGTAGCTCGGACGATTTAAGAGGGGAATTATCCGGGCTTACACCCTCCTGGGCCCATGTATGGTGTGGCATATTGAAGTATGTTCAGTCTCTCTTTACAAATGTCTGTATAAATCGAAATGCGAAGCTATCTCAGAACATTGGGTTGATTTACTTTTATTCGATTTTGCTTGTGTTTGATCATAGTAAGCGATAATTTTAATGTTTTCTAAGACAATAAATTCACAAATAAACGTAGTATACTTATTTTATAATTTCAGGAAATTGACTCTGAGAAAAGTTCAGTTCTACAAATTTTTTGTGTTAATAGAGAGAAGTGTGTAATCAAACATAATATATTAATAGTTAATGAAAAAAGATGGACCCCCTTGTGATGATGGTAAATCTTTTCGATGAATATTCCAACGAATTTACGACAGAGTACAAAGGTTACCGTTATAAGAATTATAGTACAAACCAGCAGAGCATCTTGATTTGCTGCTGCTCAGCATATAGCTGAGAGCTGAGAAATGCTGAACTCGTACGGCTAACGCATACGAAACGGATGGCACGCACACATGCATTCTCCCCGTTTAAACGGTTATAAACAGTTGATTGGACGTTCAATTCAAAACTCAAAACTTAGTAACCAGTTGAGTTTGAAATTGTGTTGCGACCGACATATGAGAAGCTGCGAGAAAAACATCACATCGCATCCCTCGTTATTTTGCTTACGTAAGTGAAAGCAAGAGATGAGATGCGACGTGCTGTTTTTGCTCTCAGTCTTTCATATATTCTGAAAGTGTACGTCTAACGCATACGAAACGGATGCACGATACATATTCCCCTTTCACTTCGTATGTTCGCTGGTATAGTGTGTAACCGTTGTACCGGCAATAGCGTCAACGGCAGCACATACGAAGCGAAAGGGGAATATGTATCGTGCATCCGTTTCGTATGCGTTAGCCGCACGAGCTCAGCATTTCTCAGCTCTCAGCTATATGCTGAGCAGCAGCAAATCAGGATACTCTGCAAACCAGTAATAATTAGTGTTTCATTTCAGGTCGTATAGTAAATGTGAAGCTTTATACGGAAAATGGTGTTGATATTCCATATCGGGCCAGGCTCATGAACATGATTGGATATGAATTCGAAGTTCTTTTAATAGAAAACGGAGAACTTGACATGGTGGATTTAAACCAAATTGAAAGAAATTCCTCTGAATATAATGAGCTTGAATCTTTTGTACGCCGTTTACAAGAAATTTACAATCAATTTCATCAATATTTTAGAGGTGTGGTTTACTCTTCAAAGGAATATGAAAATTGTCAAAGAAACTTTCAATTGATGGGCGAATTTATTTTTTAGAAACTGAAGCTGTCGCTTATTCAGAAGAAAATAATATTTGGAATGTCGTTCAACTGATGGAGGTATTGTGGTCATCTGATCGACCTTGTGAATTCGTGGTCGAAGATTCTGCATACGAAGAAAAATTGATGCTGGCAAGTAATGTTCGGTGCAAAGAACTTCGTGAAAAAGTGAGTCTGCTGTCAAATGTCAATATTTTATCGAACCCTTCTATGGAATTACTTAGTACCAAAAAGTGGCGCCACTGTACATTGCATAGAAGGGTTCGATAATATATTGACGTTTGACAGTAGACTCACTTCATATGAAGAAAAATCACCAACTCCTTTAAATTGTGCCGGGAGCTTGGCTGTACGCAAGCTATTCCTGATGACGAAGTGTTCAATCATTTGAGAAATGTTCATGGACGCAATGATGAATACATACGAAATCAAATTGAATGTGGATTCTATAAGAGAGTAGGACGACCTATCATCTATCGGCATGCCTATCGGCCACGACGGTTATTTGAATAAATTTGACTTAAACGTAGTTGTTTCGATTAAAGTTGATTGTTTGTCATACAAATTTTAAATTTGTAATAAAATCAAATTTATTCGTTCACCATAATCATAATATTTTCTTGGAAAAAATTACATTCAGATGGTTGAAATGTTCCTAACTGCTGATATTCAAATTTTTTTTCGTAAAGTTCTCTTCAAAATTCACTGATTATTTTGACACATCATGAGTTCCATTTCTTAAAATCCGAAATCAACAATTTGACAAAATACTTTTTAATCATTTTTTCGTCAACGGTTCTTATACCATCAAAATATTCTCGTTTCAAATCACAGTCGCACGTTCATAATAATACGATATGAAGTACACTCTGTGTGATACTAACCAAGCAAGCACATTTAAACCGAAAATAACAAACAAACTGTAAACATTCATGCAAACGTACACGTTGCCGCAGTGAATTGTACAGACTAATAGAAGAATTATGAGAATGAATGAGATAATAAAAGATTACGAGATCTTGCTGTCGCATCAGCATGTAAACATACATTAGAGTGTAGCAGATTTCAAACATTTTACCAACTGGTCTAAAAACCGGATTCTCTGAATGCAAATCGGTTATTTAAAATTGGAAATAATCACAATTTTGGTGAAAAATCAACGAACATTATTTAGTTTTCAATGATTTTCTTCTTCAATTCTTTAAATTTTCGTAAAAAATTCTTTAAATACTAGAAATTTTCACGGAAAAAATGGCGAAAAATCATCGTAATCTACAAATAGAAAAAAAAATCCGAAATTGAATATTTTGATCCGTTGATTCCGGCTGTTTCCATCGAAAAGTCGTTCATATTATTTTCGTTATACCCTAACACATACACATCAAAACAGTGTTCAATAACAGTAATTTTGATAGTTTTCAATATAAATGTGAAATATGTACTACACACATCCGTGTATCAGTGTGGTCGATAATTCGATCACACATTTCTAACAATGTGCATTCGTAACTAAACTTTGACTTCTGGTTTTGAGTTGTTCGCCGCCGAATAGAGGCAATTGATGATAACAATTCGGCACATTTCATGATGCTAGCTGGTACATTCATTTATAGAATTCTGTTGAAATGATGTGATTATAAACGATTTCTGTATGGCTCAATCATTGTCATTTATTGAAACATACAGAATTTCAGCTGATATTATACATGAACAGCATTCACGGAGAACAAAATTATTACAGCTTGCCTTGTTGATAACACATGAGATTCAATTTCACTTGAATGTGCGCACCAATTCGGAATTGTTTTTTTCCATTATACAATCACTTTAAGTTCAAAATTGCTTGAGTATCCTGTGTGGTTTTTGATTTCCTCAAAAGCGATTTCGAATTGAAATTGAAAGTAAACCGCTTTACTTGAAAGAATAAAACCAACTTTTTCGAGAAAGAAAGTGTCCTACGTGTGTTTGAAAAAAAAATTTGTAAAGAAAACATCATATTTGGTAAGTTTTATCAAATCGGTATAGTGATTTGACCTGACGATTATTTCGACCTCGATTTTAGACGATGGAAACAATCGAACGACCATGGAATCTTTTATACGACGAAGTGACGTATAATCGCGTAAAACTACATTATGAAAGTGATTTTGCGTTGGGTGTACGAATATTAAATGCAAAATGCCTCTCGTTAAATGTCAATATAAATCCACTCGATCCACAATACAATCAAATTTTAGATGAATTCATACTAAATTTAAAATCAAGCGATCCAATTTTCAAGTATTGGATTGAAGATTTAATAAAAATGATGACCGAACATTTTAATCAGCAAATTCAATTTTTTTCCAAATCATACGAACTTGAGCAGAAAATTTATGAAGACGGTACACATCGTCTGACACAGATCGATAACGATATTCACTGGTTACTTATGCTAAATATGTGCAATAAAACGGCAATGGAACGATATAAATCGTATTGGGAATCGTATAGTGTGCGCTATACCACACAATGGGAATATCATATTCGAAATTTAAACATGGAACTTATTGGTTCGATAAAAAAGGTTATTGAATTATTGTACACGATTTTGCAGAATATTGATGTACAACGCGAACGATTGATTAAGTCGCAAAAGAATGAGCAAAAATGGTCAAAATATATTCGAGCCAGTTATGCTGAAATTCAAGTTTGGTTTGATGAGATTGTCGGTATCATTGGTGATACATGCCAAGTGATACAGGACATTCAGAGCTATGGCCAAACAATGTTCAATGCTGAATTGGAAGAAATTAAGGATATTTTTGAAAGAATAATCAAATCGACGTTGGTAGTAGAACTTCAGCCGGCGGATGTCATTAAAACTGAAGTCAAGTGAGTATTTTTTTGGACTAAAACATCGAGGTTTATGTTGATTTCAACAAATTATAACCTTGCAGTTCTCCATCGACGGTTCGGGTGCTACTCACTTTGAGCAACATTTTTATCAAAATCGATGACCTTAAATTAGTCGTTACTATTTCTATGCGTGAGTTTTTGTTTCGCATACTTTTCATTCCATGTTGTGTTTTCATGGTGTTTTTTTCTCGCTAAAATAGATGATAAATTAAATGAAAGCGCTGGCAAAATTAAAATGACACGACAAATTCAATTTAAAGAAGATGGACATGATATTTTTTGCGAATTGAAACAGCTGAAAGTGGAAAAACTTTGCCGAAGAAGACAACAAGAGAGTGTGATTGAGCAGAAATACATCTTGATTTATCGCCTGCGAATTCAATTTGATAACATGAAATTTTACGTAAGTTGATTTGAATTTTGACGCAATAGGTGGGCACGGTAAATAACTTTTTTTGTACATGGAAATATTTTTGGGAAAATTGGTAATGAACATCTTTTTAATATGCTGGGACTGGCGGAGAATGAAAATTGAAAATGATGGAGGGTGAAATTGCTCCACTAGAAAATCAAAATTCGAGGTGTTTAAAATCAAAATGAGTGCTGCTTTCTTCAAAATTTTCCATAAGAACAAAAAAAAATGAGTATGCCATCGGACACTACATCGGAATTCAGGACCCCAAGGGTTGGAGGGGGGTGTAATTTGGACGTTTATAATATTTGTGGGCACTAATTTTTCCAACACGCTTTTGAGGTGCAAAGAAGAGCCCACAAATTAGCCCCCAAACTCTCTTATTTTTGCGTTCCGAATTTCGATGTAGTTTCCGATGGCCTATTCAGTTTTTTCATTCTGGTAGAAAATTTGGCCGAAAACGGCACGTAAAGTACAGAATTTTCAAGTTTTTACCTGCTAAGACTATTTCTACCTCCATCTTTGAAATTGCTATTCAATTTTATGCCAGTTCAAATGCAGAAGAAAAATCTTTTGGAAACTTTTTTTATTTTCACAGGAATTAATTTATGTGCAAAAATAGTCATTTCGTGTGCTCACCTATGTTTACCGATAATTCAATTTACTGATACAGTAGTCACTTCCTTTGTTTACCCGACATCGTCGGTTTCAAAATTAAGATGAAACTTTTTGGCTTTTAGTTTGTCGTTTGTTTTCACATAATTTTAGGAGAATTTTGATTTGAACTTCTAAAACGCAAGATATTTCAAAGGCTCTATCAATCTGATGCGAACACCATCATTTATTGATTAAAAACCGTACCGAAATTATGCTCAAAGTGTCACACAGCTAGCGCCACGATGGAATTCAATGTAATCTATACTAAGTTGCCGCCAACTAGTAAAAAGACTTTTGCTCAGTTACAAACAACTGCCTAGAACTCCATAGTTGTCCGTAGTGGCGCTAGCTGTGCTATAGTTTTGCATTTTATACAGTCTCTTATGGAACATAATTGCAGTGCGTTAAAAACATAATTTGACTAGAACGTTTCAAGTTGATTTCTTTCAAGCGTCTTTTTTGTTATCTGGAAGTCGGTTATCTGTGTTTATTCAGTAATAATAAATCTAAATTCGATTTTTTCCACATTGTTTTTCTTCAGGCATCGGTGATCAGTTGGCCTGTTTTTGTCATTGTGCATCATTCTCAAGAGCCATTGGCCAAAGCAGCGAGCATGTGGGACAAACGTTTTCCAAATATCGATCGATCCAAAACAAAGTCGGTCCCATGGGTCGATATGGGCGAGGCTTTAAAATGGTTTTTCCACAGTGTAACCAAGTGCCGTTTGAATGATAAACAATTAGAAGGTTTATGTGAGTGCTCGAATGTCATTTTATGATGTTTTTATGAAAAACAATGAATTTTCTCATTTCGAACGGCAAATTGTGATTATTTTCAGATGAAAAGGCCATGAAAGATAAAATCATCGATGGTGGTAATTTTGTTTGGGCCGAATCTTGTAAAGCAAAATCGGTGCCTCAGTTAAAATATAGTTTTTGGGAGTGGTTTTATTCTGCCATGAAGTTAACACGCGATTCTATTTATGATTTATGGAAAGATGGTCTCATTGATGGATTTGTTAGCACAAAAGTTTTGAATGACCTTTCCAAACGTCCAGCTGGTAGTTTTTTGCTACGATTTTCAGAGAGTGTACTTGGTAAGAATTTTCTTAATTCTTTTCAATTTATTAACAGCATTCATACTGTAGTTCCATTCGAATTTTTAGCCGGACTAATAATAATGTGGGTGGATAAAGAAAAAATGGAAGTAGTTCAGGCAGGTCCGATTTCAAGTGAAATGGTTAAAAATCGGGCATCAGACGATCCATCATATGCAGTCATTGTTGGTATTATTCGAGATTTAGCCGAATGCACACATTTTTCACACAATGGGATATCAAAGGAAATGGCATTTGAAAAATTCTATAAAGAATTGCGCACGAAATCGGCGAGCAATAAAAATTCCAAATACGAAATTGTTATAAAGACCACATTTCAAGCAACAGTGCGAGAAGCGGAAAATAATTCACATTCTTCGGTTGTCGGCGATAAAAATACTCTTATTAGTACTCAAACCAAAAGCCTACCTTCAATTAATACATCCGAAATAAGCGACATTGCTCCACCTGTATTCACACCGTTAAGTGATGGCTTGAAATTCAAATATAATTTTGGTGTAGAGAAAATGGATGTTGATCCTATTGGCATGGATGCATCAAATACAAACGTGATTGAATAAATTTGATCATTTTTATGGTATTTTCACGAATTGAGAACATTAATGAACTGGATTTATTGAAACGATCAAGATCTGGATATTTGGAACTGATTTCGCTATGGGTGGTCTCACTCTCACATGAAAACAGTGATATTTATCTGCAATTTTGTTTTCCTTTCCTTAACAAAATAATAAAAAAAAAATTCAAGGGCATGAAAATTGTAGTTTGTTTTTTAAATTTTGGGTATGTTTTAGCATGGAAATTCAAGCGCACCCTATTGACCTCAGACATTGAAGGTTGACCTTTCGAATGTACTGCAACAAATATTTAGATGATACATAGATTTGAATAGATACAGATTGAATTGGAGTATACTTTCAAATGGTGTACTCGGGTGTAGTTACAAAGCACGCCAAAGTTAACGTAGCGATAGCATCAAAATTTCAAAGTTTCATTAGAATGTGTGCCACGTACGTCCCCGCAACATCTTCATATATCATTTTTTTGTACAGTCGACAATTTTTTGCTGCGCAATATTCCGATCTCAACGCAAATGTCCATCATGCGACAACACATCTCCCAAGAAAAGTCCTTTCAAAAGGCACATGCTAAGATACACTGGCGAAAGACCATTCCAGTGCGATCAATGTTCAATGAAATTCACTCAACAAATTGCCTTAATTCGCCTCGCCACACCAAAATCCACACTAATTCACGTCTATATTGAAGTTCAAGTGTTCGGTTTGTTATCAACACTTTTTAACGCAGGCCGAAAAAGAAATGCATGAACAAAAGTGCCAGCTAGGAATCGATGTAATTGTTTTTCTCTGATGATTGAGCAATACAACACTGAAATTAGTTACGCGAAGAACGTGCGATTTTAAAGATTTCAAGGCAACATTAAACTTACTTGATTTTATGAGCGATATATGGAATGAGGTTCCAAACAATGTACATTTATTTCTACAATGTACACACATCCTGGTTTTCATCGCTATTTTCTTCTATTTGATTGTCTTTAGTAATCGTTCTATACATGTGAAACAGATAAAAATGTGCAAATAGTGTGATGATGATACAATTATACTCGTATTATAATAATTATTGAATGAACTGTCGTAAAATCATCACACAAATAGATGTTGTTGTTATTATTCGCCTTATATTGATTTTACTTTATTAAATTCTTTCGAATTTACAAACCAACTACGTGCTTTTTTATTAAAGTTTAGTGAATTATTGTTTTTGATTGTGAATTTTATCTTTCGATTTCTTATGTAGTAATAAAATATAAAATAAATAAAATTGTAATTCCTGAAATAAAAAAAATGATAAAAATTGAACGTCATCTACAACATTTTTAAAAAAATTCTTCAGTCTCCATAAATACTCGCGACTTTTGGAAAAATTTACAAAAAGCAGCGGATTGGTTTTAGGTAATGTCTGATTAAAAATTGTGTTTAACATTAGCCGGAATTTACGTTTTTAAGTGAAATTTTATACTTTTTACAGTGGTACTTTTAACGATATAGACCTCAACAAATTCAATTCCTTATGAATACAGATGTGATTATGAGTAATTATTAAATATTTTATTATTATTTTCTAAAAATTTTATTATTTCAAATTACTACATTTTTTAATAATTATAATTATCGGCTAGTTAAAATAAAAATTGTTTGATTTTTATGTGCATTTCATAGGTTCTTCGAATATCCTAATTGTACTACAAGCCATTACCAGCTCACCACGAATCAAACAATAACGGCTAACAGTCCGGGTTTTCCACCCTATGGATTTCCAGTGCCAAGTAAATGTCATTTTACTGTAGCAGCACCAATTTCTCATTTTTTGGCCGTTACATGTGACATTTTTATTGGGGTAAAAGAAAAATTCAAATAACTTGTTGACACAAATATAATTTTATACTACCGAAAATGTATGGGTCACGTCATTTGACTGTGATCCAGATGACAGCTTCTTCATTAATTCCGCTGGAATATATCCGGAATGTATACGTCGTAAATATTGTGGCTTAAATGAAGTAATATCATTTAACACGACGTATAATAACATGACTATTGGTAAGTTTATCATATTGTTCGAATTGTAATAAGTCTATACTTTCAAAATGTTTTATTTTAGCATATAGATCAACTAAATACTCTGGATTTTACTCATGTAATATCACGGCAATGCCGAAAGCTACACCGAAAGGGTCCGACAGTCAAGTTTAACAGAGCTCAAATCGTACTTTAATTTAATATAGATATATTCAAGTGACACAAAAAAAAAGAATATGGTATCGAGATGGCCCAGTATTTCAGAAAATTTTAAAAGTGCTCCAAATTCGTTAATCGAGAAAACTTGGAATTCTTTCGGCGGGTACCACCGATCGACTTAAGGATGAAACAAAATCGACAAACATGTTATTTTTCATGCATTTCACCGAACCGGATGGGGAATCTCGATACCATAAACACTCTTTAATGTAACAAATAATAAACGCACCAATGTTAACGAATGATTTTTCTTTATTTAACAAACACGATTGACTAATGATTTGTAATACCTGTAATTCTGCTTGTGGAACTCTTTTGTTTAAGAGTTTCTCTATTTTCTTCAATGATTTGCCATCAAATCATAAAAAATGGGGACGAAAATTTACGAAAGAAACGAATAAAATAAATGAACAAATTTATAATGGCTAGAAATATTGAATATGCCAACGATTGATCATCACAGACAATATATTTACACCAAACTGTTGTTGTTTTTCTACTACACATATACAGTGGTACCTTTTTAACTCAATTTGGACTGTTTGTTAAGAAATTTGAGAAATATGAATTTTGGCAAAATCATCGGGCGTTCACATGCAGCATTTTTTAAATGGTCAATATAACCTTGGTCGCTTCAGTTTTGAACTGATCGAAAACAGGTATTTTGATTAAAATTAAACAGCAGAAATGAATGGTATTTTGATTTTTAATAATCACGTAAGTATGCGCGTTCGACAGGTGGAATGATGGGTTTTGCAGAAATGAAGAAAAAATAATTGAAAAACGAAAGAAATACTAGACGAATAATTAAGAGAATTAGCAATGCAAATGGAACAACCTATTCAAGCCCGAGCGGACACTGTTAATCATATACACGACTCTAGCCGACTGTAAACAATATTAATATTTTCGTATACAAGTGACAGTGTAAATATTTTGCCACCGAGCGCGGTTCATTAGACTATACGATATTATGCATGGATTAAATTTCTGTTTTTTTTTACTTAAAAATCTACTAAAAATGAAAAACACTCGCTCTATCTTGATTTTTAGTCAATCGAGTATAACAGTTACAAGAGAGTAGTGAAGCGATAACACAATTCTCTTGAAATACAAAATCGTACAAAATCCAACAACGGCGTGGAAAAAACCCAATTAATTTAAATTGTTTACATAGACACAAAATATTACAAGAAATTTAATGTTTGAATTAGTTTGAGTGAAACAATGGAATTAAAAAACAATCGAAAAGATGACAGGCACAAATTTCGGAGATTTTTTTCGCAGGTGTTTTATCACTTTCTATTTGCCCTATGGTCGTTAATGTGATGTTTTTATTTTGCAGTAATTTGTAGTTTTTGTATTGATTTTCAGTTTTTTTGATTCTCAATTTTTTTTCTCTAGTTTTTTGTAGTCTCAGTCGAAAATTTACACCTTTTCACCTCTGGCGTTTGCTATGCATTGCCAACAATTGTATGTACATAAGTTGCATTAGCAGGGAATTGTTGATGATTATTAACGAATTGCAATTCCAGGTAATACCTGCTTTGACAAAACATAGTAATGAACACAATAAAAGTGAATTCCTAACCATAACATCTGTTCAAGCGTCATGGATGGGTGAGTAATCCCGTACCAACTGTATTTATAAAAAAATCACTATTTGGTCACTTGATGGTTTCATTCACAAACAGGTTCATTTATGATTATACTTAATTTGTTTGGAAGCTTATTATCGGGATTTGTGACAGGTACACATATGGCAACATATCATTTTAAGGAAATCCCTTTGAAATAATCTGATTTTCTACTTTGTAGATCCAATAGGTCGAAAAAGAGCGATGATTCTTGTGAGTATTCCATTCATAATTGGATTTTGTATACTGTACCTTTGTACCTCTTCTGTATCTGCCGTCTTTGTTGGACTTACATTCCTTTCCTTGGCTGACGGACTGATGACTACACCAATCATGAGCTACTTGGGGGAAATAAGGTGCTGTATTATACATGACTCAAATTATAACATTGAACACAACTGGTTTTGATAAAAAAAATGTAATTTTCAGTGAAGTATCAAATCGAAGTCTATTTAATGGCTACGGTAACATTGTTCTATCCTTTGGAATCTTTGTGGCTTATGAATTAAATACGATGATGTCTTGGCGAAAAGTGTGCTTTATTTGTGCAAACCTACCGTTAATTACAGCAATTGCTGTTTTCTTTGTGAGTTTTCAGTTTGATAACGACAAACTTCATTTTTGCATAGACAAAATTCAGCATTGTACTCATAATTTTGCTTTCAAATTCAAAAGTAAGATGTTCTTCTTTGTAGTTGCTTCCCGAAACACCACAATTTCTCCTCTCGAAGAACCGAACTGCTGAGGCCAAAGTGTCGCTCCGCCGCCTGCGAGGATGGGTGCCATATGAAGCTGTAGCTCAAGAATTCGAAGATTTACAGCGACAAAGTGAACGATCAAAATCATGTTACACTTGCATTAAACAAGATTTAGCATGTACTCATGCGCTGCCAACCATGAGTGAAAAGTTAGCCGAATTAAAACGAAAACAAACGCTAAAACCACTCTGCATTATTATCACGCTCTTTTTCCTGTTTCCGTTTACGGGCATTGTGGCAATGAGACCGTATATGTTGCAAATATTTAAAGCCTATAACAGTCCCATTGAACCGGACCAAGCAGTGACAATCCAATCAATTTTTGATATTTTAGGAACAATAAGTATGATGCTCTTGGTTAGGTTCACGGGCAAACGACGACTTTACCTATTCTGCATGTCGGCTGTATTGGTTTGCAGTGCGACCATCACATGGTACGGATTCACATATTTACCACCCTCCAGATATATTTCCATCGATCAACACAAACCATTTCAATTGGACAACAAGGCACTCGAGTACATTCCATTCATTTGTTTGATGACATGGAGCTATTTCACAACGTGCGGTCTCTATGGAATTCCTTGGATTCTGTTCTCCGAAATATTTCCATTCAAGTACGTATTTATTATTGGAAGTTCATTGTCGAAGTGCTCTTTTTGAACTCTGTATTGTTTTGAATTTATTAGATCGCGTGGCATCGCTTGCGGTGTGTCAGCTTCCACGTTGTTTGTTTTCGTTTTCATCGGTGAGAAAACATACCTTAACTTAGAGGCGACTCTTTCGCTGCCCGGTGTTTCATTGCTGTTCACTTGCATTTCCTTCTTCGGTCTTATGGTGGCGTACAACATTTTACCAGAAACGGAAAATCGATCCTTAGAGGATATTGAATTACATTTTGCAGACAATTCCAAAGGGTTGACTGATCACAAAATTGCAATTTCCAAGCCTCAAGACAAAACTCAACTTATAGAAGGCGACAACAACAACAACAATCATTTATAGACCGATAAGTGTTAGTGTCAACTTATAGAAGGCGACAAAAAAATCTTCGATTTAGTTTACATCGGAATTAGTTTCAGGGACATTAACTGGATATAATAAATAAAATAAATACACCCTAATTTACGCTTATAGTCTGTATTTAGCAAAACTTATAAAAATAACAATCATAGAATAAACTAATAAACAAAAGGTTGCGTTGTTATTTTTGGGCGTTATATAATCGTGTGTAAAGTCCCCCCAGTGCTAATAGTTCACGGTGTGTTCCATACTCAACAATGTTTCCACCACGTAAAACACAAATTGCATCGGCATTCTGTATGGTACTCAATCGATGCGCGATTACTAAACAGGTTCGTCCGGATCGTGCCGAATCAAGGGCTTGTTGAACAGCCTAACAATCGGAATAATAAATTGAAATCGAGTTTTAAGTTGTCATATGGATTCAATGGTACATCATAGTATAGCTTCTGGAAAGGGATCCAAGGAGTCAAGCTACCACCAATAAAAAATATAATCTCCATCCTAGAGAGTGGATAATATCCACTTGATATGAGATTACCCTCTTACAAATTGTGAAAAACTCGTCTATTTGAAAGTGAAAATCTTTTTTTTCGGTCCGTTTTGTCAGAATCTTCCAATTCTGTGGTTTTTGTCAAGAATTTTTTTCGATATGCTAAGTTTTGAAATGACCCCTCAATTTTACGTAAAATTTTGAAAATGGCAAATCTCCCTTGATCGCCAACTTCAGAAGCCTATGACATAGATACCTGCTCCATATGTACATCCAATGCAGATGTTGCTTCGTCTAACAATAATATTTTCGGATTTCTAATCAATGCACGGGCAATGGCAATTCTCTGTTTTTGACCGCCCGACAGTTGTGCTGTTTTACTGCCCACATTTGTTTCGTAACCCTTTTCAATATAGAAAAATATTACTTACACAATATTAAAGATGTGCTATGAACTCATACCATTGGTATGAAATTGTACATTGTATAAAATTGAATAATGAAATACAAACCATTGGCAATTGATGGATGAAATTATGTACATTGGCAACTTTCGCTGCGGCTATAATCTCTTCCATTGAAACATTTCGTGAATTATCACCATAAGCAATGTTTTCGGCAATTGTTCGTTCAAACAGCACCGGTTCCTGAGACACAATGCTTAATTTCGATCGCAAATCTTTCAGCGATATATCACTGGATATTTCGTCCAAACCAATATGAATACGACCATGTTCCGGATCATAGAGCCTCTGTAATAATTGGATGCATGTTGACTTGCCGCAACCTACAAAAATTTCGTCAATGAAAAAAATGATTAAGAATCATTTGCCAGTTTTCTCATGAGATGTTTTAATTGTTTTTAATCTGTTTATACCTGAAGGGCCTACGAGAGCAACAGTTTTCCCTTCAATCACATTAAAATTAAAGTCTTTAAGAATTTGAACATTTGGCCGCGTTGGGTAGCAAAAATCAATGCTTTTGTATTCAATTTGATTCCTTTTATCTGGTTTTCGACTTTTGTTGGCTATGATTGGTGAGCAAATCATTGGAATTCGATCGATTAGTTGAAAAACACGATGTGCACTAGCGAATGCTTCAGTGAACGACGGCACAAAAACCAAACTTTGACTCATGACAATGGTTCCGTAAAGTAAAGCATCGCTTACTCTGTGAAATATGTATATTTTTTTCAAAATTTCATGAAAATAAACAAAATTAAAATTTCATGAAAACTCAAATTCAAATTTACGCACTTGATGACATTTTTGAAGTGAATTTCACCGTAGGCCACCAGAAGACCACCATAGCAGAGTGCAGCCGCATAAGCAAAGTATGGAATCGACTGTGTCGTTGAATTAACCAAGCCACGCCACATTATTTTCTTTCGAATAATTTTTGAAACTTTTGCCATTTCAGCTTCGTATCGGCCAATCATGTACTTTTCTTGTCCTAGAAAAGAATTCGATAATAAAATAAAAAATAAGGAAATATGGATGCAATATTGTTTTAATACTTAAAGCGGCGACGGTTCGAATATTAGAAATAGCTTCCGTTGCAATTTTCGTTCCGATTTCGATTGATTGTTTCTCTGTCAGTGTTGTCTTCGACATGTGTCTGGAAGAAGGTAATATATGTAATGAAAATTCAACTCGAAATGAGAGAAAGATGCAATTACTTTGCCTCCAAAATGACCGTGATTAATGATAATGGAATTGCAGCCAAACATAGAAATGACAGTTTGACAGAATAAGCAAATGCCACGAAAATTCCGACTACAATAGTGGAAATTGACTGGAAGATGACACTAATTGGATAGCCAATTGCTACTTGTAAATTTCTGGCATCACCGGTGAGTCGGGATGAAAGTGCACCGGTTGAATGATTTTTATCGTCAAACCAACCACACTCCTGACGCAAAAATGCCGCAAATGTCATTGATCTAAACCAACAGAGGATTCAACGTCATCCAATGCGTCATCAGTGCTGATGGATCCAGATGGATATTTTAGCAGATAAAATGCATTGAAAACTCGTGTAGAGTTGCATTTTTTGCTGTGTCTCTGATTTGTCTTCAGTGTTTGGATTTTTTCTGCAGTGCAGACGGCGATAAAATGCAATCAGAGACACTGCAAACTAAGAAACATAGACTTTATCCAAGTGTTCATCGGAATAATAAATTCGATTTTTCAGTCAAAATATCCGGCTGGATCCATCTGCGATGTTGTCAAACTCTTATAAAAATTTCATAAAAGTTTTTCTTCTTTTTTCTTATTTCAAAACCAATTACCGAACTCTTGTCGCCAGATTGACACTGGCCTTAGAAAACCAATATGTTTGCAAAGTGGCTGAGATGAACGTAATTACGCTGACCACCAAAAACCATGTGGAAATGGTGTATGTTTGTTTGAGTGCCTCACTCGCATCTTCTAATGACATTGCCTATGTTAAATTTAAATATCGATTATATAAGTTCCAAATACATCCAATGTTCTTTGAACCTACGCCGTAAACTTCGCCGAATAAAATTGCAAAAATCGGCAATGTAGCGCCAATGAAACATGCACATATTGTGGCCAAGAACAAAATGAACCACTCTGGCCTTAACAGATTTAAAATACGTTTGAAAACGCTCCAATATTCGATAATTTCTCTCGTTTTCTTTGGTTCCACGTCATCCACAGATAAATCACCGAAATAATCTTGTTCATCATTGTTATTTATGTAAACCGTTTGTTGATCATCTTGACATTCATTCCCCGTTACTTTATGGTTGTTAATGCAATCATATTCTGTTCCATCTTCCGAACGGCCGGCCGAAATCATTTCAAAGTATCGACCTTTCATCGCCATCAATTCGTTGTGTGTTCCGTTTTCGAGCACCGTACCTTTATCAATGAAAAAAATCCGATCTGCATTTCGAATGGCGGACAAGCGATGCGATACAGTTATTGTTGTGCGGTCTTTACTCGCTTTATCTAGCGTTTTCTGCACAAACTTTTCGGATTGATAGTCAAGAGCACTTGTTGCTTCATCTAACAATAGTATTTTCGGATTTTGAATCAATGCACGGGCAATGGCGATTCTCTGCTTTTGACCACCTGCAAAGCGAAACTTTGGAAATTGACGAAAGACATGAATTTTGAAGTACTTACCGGAGAGCTGTGAACCTTTTTCACCTACCATCGTGTGGTATCCTTGTGGTAATTTTGCTATGAAGTCATGTGCACCAGATTGAACTGCGGCTGCAATCACATCTTTATCGGTTGCATCGGGATTACCATAGCGAATATTTTCACCAATTGTGGTGGAGAAAAGGATAGGTTCCTGTCCAACTGTTGCTATACTCGAACGCAGCATATTGATATTGAATGTGCGTATATCACAGCCATCGATCAGAATATGACCATTGTTTGGGTCGTAAAATCTTTGGAGCAATTGCAAACAAGTTGACTTCCCGTTGCCGGAATCGCCGACTAGAGCGACTGATTGTCCGGCTTGGATTTCAATATTTAATCCGCGCAGAATCTATGAAAATTATAATTCAGATAAATTTTAGATTGACCCAGCTTTAAAGGGTCACCTCCTCTAAAAGAAATCCCAAGCGATTTTGACGAGAATCTTTAGACTTCTTCCATCCCCCAATCATTTTTGATCCGAATGGAGACATAAACAATTTTTTACAATTAAAATCACGATCTTCCCCGGATTTTTTCCGGGACACCCTTTCGATTTTTGGCATTACCAAAATCTATGGCACCAACACCTATGATTACCTGAACATCTGATCGAGATGGATAACTGAATTGCACATTTTTAAACGAAATATTCCCTTGAATCTCAAATGTTGGCACTTTTCCTTCATTTGACATCGAATCGATTTTGGACGTACGATCGATAACCTTGAATATACTGGCAGCACTTCCGCAAGCACTGGCAAAAGATTCCAAAAACGGAGCTGTTTTTGCAATATTTTCAGCGCCACAAATCAAACCGAAGAATGTCTAAAAAAAAGTTTTACTGTTAATTTGCTAAAACCTGTAAAAAGGTAAATAGACTGAAAAGGCCTTACAATCATTAAAACGGCTGGTGTATATTCCTTGTCAACGTTATCACGGTCTTCTAAAACCAGTTTAACTCCATACCAAAACGCAAGTGCATTGCTCCCAAAAAATAAAAATTGCATAACACCATCTCCAAGTCCGGCAAGCAATCCTTTCAATTTGACTGCTTTTTTTGCGTTTATCAAACGTTTATTGTATCGATCAATTTCCAATTTTTCGCCGCCAAATGCAAAAACAGTACGAATACCACTCAATACTTCCTCAGCAACGTTCGTTGCTGCTGAATAAGAATTCGATTCTTTGATGGATAACGACGTTTGATACTGAAGTCAAAATAATTCCAGACATCATTAAAATTAAGTTCTTTTCGCTGAAGTTTTGTATTATTATATTATTTTACCTTCCCAATGATATAGTTTGTTAAAATAACAATTGGCACATACGATATCACGACAAGTGATAATTTCCATCCGTAAATGAATGACATCACAACGCAAATTATGAATCCAATCACCAAAACCAGAAAGTGAGACACTTTTTCAGCAATTCCGTCTCTAATCTTCTCAATATCTCTGTAAAAATAAGTGGTTTGTTACAGCCCAATCATCAAATGGTTTCATTCAAATATTACATACTCGGTGATTCGAACGGCAAAATTATGTTTACCGTCCGCAACATCATACCAACCGACCTCCTGTCGCATCAACGATTTAAAGTATTCAACACGAATGCGAGTTATTTGTCGTATTGCCATATGATTAAAACAATCAACACATACGATGCCCACTAATAAATGCAAAATCGATGCCAACGTCAGTAAAATTCCATAGGCGATTGAATCGTTTATGATTTCGTGATGATTTTCTTCTACGGTTGCATTTGTTCTATTTATTCATAAAATCGTTCATAAGTTTGTGTGATATAAAAATAAATACAACCTTTACTAACAATACTTTTCCACCACCAAATATCGGCAGAAATACTGTCGTTGAACTTGTTCCAATGCCAAACGTACGGTCGACCAGCAATGTTGTGAATTCACCGTAGACAATGATCACTATTGGCATCACCATTGATTTAAGAACAGTGAAAATAATGCCGATTATTATCAGAATGACATCACATTTTGTTGCAAATCGATACTACACATTTTTGAATGAAGAAAAATACATTTAATTGACTTTTAGCAAAGGAAACGACCTTTTTCTGGATTAATACATAACAAATCGATTTACGCTTTGTTCAAGTATAGTTTTTTTTTTATTTCGGCATGTTCATCACACATAACAAACATCAAATAAACTTACCAAATTTAAATAATTTGAAAATCTGCTATTTTTCCACGAAATGCTCGAAATGAACGACTTTTTCCTCCTGAAAATATTAGAAAAACAAAATCAAACATCGTCAATGCAATCACAATCAATCAGTCCGGTAATTGGCCGAAGATTTCTGGTCACACATAGTTGTAAAAATTCTAAATATCTCAACAAGAATTAAAACACATTCTTTTTGAAATGTCGAATTTTTATATTTTTAAATTGATTTGAAAAGTTTCAAATTTTCTCACATTTTTCTATGTTTTCATAAAACCCAAAAGCAAATATTGTCAATAAATAACAAAAAAAAAAACCACTTCCGAATTTGAGAATTGAAAAATTTAAATCATCGTTCTGTATAGTAGGTCGCACACTCGTCGACTGAATGCTTTAAAAACACCAAGAAAAACACGCTCTAATGTCAACCACATAAAAGCGGTTTGGCCACACAATAGCGGAACATATCAGTTCAGAAAAATACCGAGCTAACGAAGAAGATGTTAAACTGATCTAATCAAAATAAATTAAATATTCTCGAATCGTTTACATATTCATGTAAATCGATGAAATAACATAAACAAAGACATAGTTCCGCACTACTCTTCTCTTTTCTATCTACTGTGTGCTACATAGCACAGCATCGTTTGATGTGTTAATATATTGGTCTCTATTTTCAAAACAATCATGCATTCATTTTCGCTTTTTTCATTCCGGCTGAGTGACGGTGGTTTCAATTTCGATGACTTCACTTTTGTTACGAACCTTTTTTGCTCTTTAACTTTTGCTTAGTTGCTATTTGTCAGTCGACTGATGATGGCGATATGAGTTACCGTAACAATTTTCAATCGATTACTATTTTTTGAATAAACAATTAAAAAAGTGAATTTATCCGGAAAATAAAAGAATCCAACGGTTTTTCTTAAATAAATTTTGAATTTTTAAACAATTACAGTTAATTAATTAAGTACCAAGTCGGTAGTTTTGAATTACCAAGGTCATATCTAAGAATATACGAGGAAAAATAGCTGTGCAAAAAGAAGTTCAGAATGGTGGGTGTTAAATTTGATGAAAAAACAAAGTTGTGGTCTCATATCGGAGAACTAGAGTGCTGGGATTCGAATGTGAATTTTGGGCAAATGTTGCTGGATACACTGTCTGACCATGGTTCCAAAACGGCTCAGGTAAACGGCATTTATAAAGAATAAAACTCAATCGTTGAACTGAAAAAAGGCAATTTATTTTTAAAACCATCAAGATCAATCACGATACCGGAGCCAAGATGAGTTTCAATGAGCTGAAATGGAAAACGATTTGTGCTGCCCAAAGTCTACGTGAAAGAGGATTTCAATATAAAGATGTGTTTTCATTTATGGCAGTGAATTCGGAAAATTTGTGTCCGATTGTGTTTGCCGCACTTTGTATGGGATGCCCAATAAATCCGTTACATTGCACACTGTCGAAAGATGAAATTGCCAAAATACTTAAAAAAACCAAAACAAAGGCAATATTTTGTGATATTGACTCGTACAATCTGATCGATGAAGCGCTGAAAGAATCGAAATCAAATTATTCTGGTTTATCTAATGTGCAGATTTTCACTTTTGATGGACAAACTTTGAATTCAGAACCAGTCGACAGTCTATTCATTCATCGTGCTAATGAACATGAATTTACGTAAGTTGAAAACCGGTCTTTTTCAAGTTTAAATTACTAATAAATTCGATCTATTGAGTCGATTGACCTTAACGAATTCACAAAAAAACCAAACTAAAATCGAAAAACATCGGAACAACCTTGAAGGTATTTTGAGTTCATAGCAACTATCCGCATCACAACCAAAATTGAAACAACCGTTTTGTGGTCATACATTCAGTAAAAAATGTTAGACGATCTAGTTTAATGACATTTTTTTCGGTTCTATTCGTGAATTCATTAAGATGCCGACTAAATCGATTATTTATTGCATTTCATGTCACGGCTTAAAACAAATCATTTTTCTTACCATTTAATTTACGATACTTGATTTATTGGTTTTAGTCCAGTTCACGTTGATTTGTCGAATGATATTGCCGGGATATTCTCATCGTCGGGCACAACGGGACCATCAAAATGTATGAAATTATTGAATACTATTTTGATTTTTATTGCGGTACAATTTTTATTCAATTTTTCACGATTACACATCGATCGTATTCGAGTTCAAAGAAAATGCGTAATGTTTTTGTTTTCTCTCCCAATTGAGACTCAAAGTCTCCGAAAAGCATTGGGAAGTTACATAAAATATTCATTTCAATGAGTCACCAGACGGTGACATTTGAAAAATCTTTCTAACTTGTAGCTTGAAATACTTTCTAACAATATTCGATCAAAATGTTAACGGGTTTTTTGTCAAGTTGATTCTGTAGCTAGTTTTGTGATAAAATTAATGTTCCATTCAAATTTTGTGGTTTTTTGACGAAAAATTGAAAAAAACTGGTACTAAACATCAAAAAACGTAGGCTACATTGAGGCTACATTGCTTTTTTGATCAAAAATCGGAGACTTTGAGCATCAACTTGTTGAGAAAATCAAAGCATTACGCAGTTTCTTGGACCTCTTATATAGCAAAACCGATCTGAAATCGTGAAAAATCGAAGAAAAATACCTTTCCCATGCGGAAAAGCAAAAAATATTTGAACCATTCATAACTTCCTCTAAACGTATGCCTTACATTCATAGGTGTTTCACTACCGTATATCATGATTTACGCCCATATATGTCAAATAATGTTAAAAGACGACATATGTTTGAGTTTTGAGCCATTTTATTGGACGGTATGGCTATATTACGTAATGACATGCACGGTTAAAGGGTCAACACGGATAATAAGCCAAAAGAATTTTTCGGCGGCGCTTCAACTTGAAATTATTGAGAAATACAAAGTAACCGCTTTGGGTACAACGCCAGCATATATGACAACATCGTTGAAAACCGATGATATTTGCACAAAAGACCTATCAAGTGTCCGATTAATTATGGTTTTCGGTGGAAAATTATACTCAGGCATGGTTATTGAAATGCAAAAATGCTATCCAAAATCAAAGATGACAGCAGTATATGGTTTAACCGAACTTGGTACAATTTTCGAATACATTTTGGATAAAAACGGTAATTACCTGCCGGTCGGATTGTATAACGGTGTGACTATGAAGATAGTCGATGACAATGGAAATCGTTGTGGTCCAAAAATCGATGGTGAAATATGCACAAAGAAAAAATACGAGTTTATTGAGTATTTGAATGATCCAAATACAACGGCAGCATCATTTGACAGCGAGGGCTTCTTTTTAACGGGAGACATTGGTCATTTCGATGAGAATGGAACATTGCATATTATTGATCGCAAAAAAGATGTTTTTAACATATTTTATTTTGAAGCTCCGTTTCGGCCATCGGAAATGGAAAGCTATCTCATCACACTACCAGATATTCAGGAAATTTGCGTTGTTGGCATTTCGACTAGCATTGATGAAGAGCTTCCAGCCGCCGTTATTGTACGGAACTCAAATTCATCTTTAAGCAAACGACATTTCTATGAATTAGTAACACGTAAGATTTTGAATAATTAGCATAATTGAGCCATAATATCAACACACTTCCGCTATGTGTTTCGAGCAAAAGCTTTGACACTGACCTTTGAAACGACCGATAATTGAGTGATGTGATTATGTGATTTCTTTTCTTTTTTTTAGACAATTTTCCAACTCGTATGTGGCTTCGTGGTGGAGTCTATTTTGTTGATTCGTTACCGAAAACTCCATCGGGAAAAATAATTCGCGGAAAGGTCACTGAATTAGCCACGGAAATATTCCATAAAGCCGGAATCAATGATCCTGATATTCAATCGTATATTGCAGACATTCCGGAAGACGTTCGAAAACTTATTACTCGAAACACTGAGTGAATGAATGGCTCAACCAGTTCGCGATTTCAAGCGAAAAGATTGTTTGATTGATATTCTCTTACATTTTTACTAACGTAAACGTAAGTTGTTATTTAAAATCTTGGGGTTTAAATGAGGCGTCACATTTTTCCCGCTTTTAAAACCTGAAAACCTTCGTTCTACTTTCTAGATATTTACACTTGACAAAATAATAATAATTAAGTGAAAATTGGAAAATTTATCTTTTAATTGCCAGGGAAATTGCATAGAAAATTCGACCAGGGGTATGAATGCGATTCATTTGTACATTTTGAGTAGGAATAACAGATAAAATCTTGTAGTTCTAATGTGTTCATTATTTTTAATATTTTTTTTATGTTCATGTTCACATGTTATTCATTTCTATTTAATAAATATTTTTTATGTACAGTTTTGTTTATAGTTTTTTTTCGACTCAAGACTGTTTGCTTTGTTACATTTCAATCAGCTCTGATGGTTTTCAAGCCCATTTTGCGTTTCCAAGCTTTGAATGAGCTGTAAATATATTCCATTCCATCAGAGACTGATTCTCAGAGCCAAAATTGCCTTTTTGACACTGGAAGTGCGTGTACATAGTAGACATCGCACTCACAAATAGTGTGCGACGCACACAATGCTTTTAATGCATAATTTGACACTTTAAAGTTTGGAATTTTTCGACATTTGTCAAACTTCTATGTAAATGTGTGTGCACATTGAAAATAAAAGCATTGTGTGCGCCGCACACAGTTTGTGAGTGCAAAGTCTACTATGTGCGCGCAACTCCAGTGTAAAAAACACAACTCTGCTCAGAGCAATAGTACTCCTCCGGCTTCATCCTTTATTGCTCTGAGAAACAGTCTCTGAATTCCATAGAAGCAGTATCATGAACAGTGTTTGATGTAAGTATTGACGCTTAACGATGAAGAATAACGTAATAAAAGAATGAAATTCTAATTTTCCATTCGCCAACGAAGTTCAAAATATCCAATATTTTAAGAAGTTAGGCAAGCCAATTTCTCACAACAATCGCAATATTTTCATGAAATTCAACTTTTTCTCCAGTGATGAGGGGGTATGTTTGCCAAAGACACTTTGGTAAGTCAAACCGGGTATTCAATGCGAGTATATCCAATTGATCAAATGACGGCCTAAGAAGAAAACAATAACATACAGAATATTCTGCAAAAAGACGAATACAAATTTATGTGAGCAAAAACCAAATATACAAACAGACAGCGCAAA